GGAAGCAAGAAGCCTATCCTTCCTGCCTAAATCTTCGCCTTGTTGCGCGGAGCCGTATCTGCTTCAGCTTTCCCCAGTGTCTGGCGTGTCCTTCCTCAGCTCTGGGGAGCGGGCGGTGAGTCTGCATGACCACTCACACCTGGCAGCCAGGCAGCAATCCATCATTGCGTATATGTCGGACGCAATTCCTCGGAATTAAGCCAGGCCCTGGCATGAAGAGGCCTCGCTTTGTAACGAACTAGTCGTGCTAGTCCCGGAAGAAACAGCTTCTTCGAGTCTTCCAGCTCGCGATCTAGATCTGCTTGGTGGTTGCCGTTGATTTGTAACGGGATCACAGCCAGGACTTTTGCAGACAAGGATCTACGTATCTCTGAGAAATGAGCTCTTTTCGATTCCTGTAGAGGCCATCCCGATGTTGCTATTATTGGCCGGATCGAGGAGTGCCAGAGGTGTAAAGTGTTTCTTGCGACGGCTTCCTGTTGAGCTGAGCGAATCCCAGTCGAAATTCCCCAGCTAGTGGTTACAATACAGTACGGCAACGGCCTATTCCTTGCGCACGATATCCACCGCAAGACAGCATTCTTCAGTCACTTGCGGCCAGGCTCTTCTTGGCTGGGAATATCACGGGCACTATTATTGCAGTGTTGCAGGTAGAGAGAATCGGAGAGCCAGCACAGGCGCTGAGCAACCACATTCTCAAAACCGAGACATGGCCGGTTTCCCCGGGGGGTGGTTCATGGCCCATCGATGACACCTGGGTTTGATTCCAGAGTAGGATCGAGATCACTACATACGCGTGAAAGGGCGGAACTACCAGATCACGCACGGGGATGGGCTGGGGTTCATACGCAGAGCCGAATGCGGAACACCCATCGTGACGATCTTTATGCGGGAATAATAATGGGATTGAGCAAAAGTCTCCGTCTTGCAACTTCCGCCGGCCGACGGAGTTATCATAACTCCCCTCCAGCTTGGCTGACGGCATGGCGACAGTGCAGAGGGAAATTAAACCACGGACGGGAGTCAATCTTTTTGCTTTCAATCCCAAAATTGCGCCGCATGATTTGCATATTCCGTAACCCCCATCCTCCCGCCTCTTGCTCCCCCTACTTTGACTTTCTGCTGTTTCTTCGCTTTGTGATTCGGTCGATTTCTGCAGATTGTCAGGAGTCATCGCCGTGGACTCGTCCGGGACCCTGCCTCTGTCTGTGTCGTGAGCTGGTTAGTCACCTTACTAGAACTCAAGCGATGGGGATCTTCAGCCCCGGGAAACAAAACAATATCGGCGGTGATTGGGAATAATAGCTTAAACTCTGTGACCGCAGTTTTGTCATTTTAGTTACTCCGGATCAATTTGCAGGTAATTGCAATCGCACCGCCCTCAGGGCACCCGCGCGCATGCTCTGTATCCCTCTCTCTCTCTCTCGCTCTCTCTCTCTTGCAATATATCGTCACCTCCTCAGCCCCGGAGTGAACAAGAATAGATCCGGGACCACTTGCAGGGTTGTAGCTTCTTGGTTGCTTTCACCGTTCGTAATCTGTTAGTCATAGTCATGATCCTGGAGCGGGACTGGCAGCAAGGCACCCTCCCCAAATCTCGCTATCCTGAAGCATTGAAACACCTGGTTCTCTCGAACGGGTCCCTTGCGCTCCCCGGATGGGGTGGGCGGTCCCAAGACCTGTCGCTAATTCGGTCTCTGGGGCATGGTGTGTCTCCGGGCCTCCCTTGCACCCCTGTCCGGGTCCTTGTCCAGAAAAGGTCGCGATGAGCAGAGCCGCTAAGAAGGGCAACGGGTTCGTTCGTCGATTGCTCGCTCCCAGCGTGGGACGATTTTCGCAAGGAGCCGAGGAAGTTAATCCCAGATCTCGACGGCCTCTGCTCTCCCATTTGTCGGGGTGGGCATAGCCTCTGATCCCTGGCCGTGTGCTTCCCATCGGCAGGACCTGTAACTAAACCACTAGCCAGTCAGTTAAATGACTACGCACAAAAATGCCAGGACTCAGGAGTGGTTTTGGGGGCCGTTTTCACCGTGGCTCTATGGCCCGATCGCACACCCCTGGTCAATATGTCTTGTCGCCGTCCAGGGCGCTTAACCTGCAGTGCCAAACAAACTTCCGCTAATCCTCCTGGGCAACAAAAAGCTTTTGGCTTTTTTTCTTTTCCCTGACTTCTTCTTCTTCTTCCGGATCGACGACATGAGGAACGTCGCTGTTCGCATCGTGCGAGAGTGGCACAGTCCAAGCTTTTGCTGGATGTGGGACCCCCTTCCCCCCTCCCTCCTGGTGGTGCTGGGCCCGGACAAGGGGGGTCGATGGCAAAGAAAAGAAAAGCAAAAAACATAACGGACAAGCCTTCGCTCAGGATGCCAAAAAAGAATGGGCCGGCGGTCCCTCATGCTAGGCTTTCCTGACCACTTGTTCCGATCTCTTTGAAGCAGGCCCAAATGCAGGGTATTGGGTTACTGCCCGTCCGCAGCATTTCGAGCCCGCTCATTGATCGAAGCTCATTGCTTCGTATAGCTCACTAGCCATGACGGTTACTGTCTATAAATCTCCCAGGGTCCCGCTCTTTTTGCTACAGGGCAACAGACGTTGAAGGTCCCCTCTCAGCTCCCAAAGCAACCAAGCTTGCCATCTTTTATACTCTTCTTCCGCTTTCTCTTCCTCTTCTTCTTCCTTCCCGCAGTAGCCTGCGCACTTCCTGTTGGTGTTGACAAAGCTTCTGCCAACTTGCATCTCCCGTCGTCCCGTTTCCATCCTCACCCCTCTCTCTTCCCACAGGGACTCTGCGGGTTTCTCTTCAAAGCCGATTTCTCGTTTCCATGGCGTCTGAGGAACTGCCAACGTCGTGGGCGGAATCTCCCTACCAGGGCCAAATGCAAACCTTGATGGATCACCAATGGGGCTCTCCAAGTGTACGTACTTGGTGCCCTGTTGGGCTCATGCCGGGACCTTCTTGCAGCTAACAACGGTCTCTCCCACAGACATATGAAAGTGTCACCCATCCTTACGTAGCCAGCACCCACGCGAATCCCGCCTTATTGACGCCAATCAGCGCCTCGAACAGCGTGTACCTTGATCCTAGACAGAGTCCTACCCACCCGTCATCCCACGAGCTTCAGTACCACAACATGAATTCCGCCAGTGTATCACACGGCTTGGGTATCTGCAATCTAAACTACATGCAGCCCGGAATGCCACTATACAATCAGTCCGAAGGACACAACCCCTACGATCCGCACGGACAGTTACGACGACATGCTGAAAGAGCCGCGAGCGAACGAACCTACAGAGCGGGAAGCAGACCACTCTCAGCACGATCAACCCCAATCGCAATCGCACCCAACCCACTTGGCATCCGGCAAATGGAACAGGAACGTAGGCTGGGCCAGGAGCTGGAAACCCAGCGCCAGCCACGGAAACCGCGGCGGCCGAGAATCAGATCCTCGATCCTGGACCAAGAGACCAACCTCACGCTGCAGCTTCGAGAACAGAACGTCCCCTGGAACGAAGTGGTCAAGCGTGTCAATGCAACTTACGGGGGGAACCACAATGCGTCTCGTCTTCAGATGCGGATCACACGCCTCAAACAGCGCATGAGGGAGTGGTCTGAGGACGATGTGAGTACGTGACTACCTATCCTATTAACGTTTTCTTTTTCTTCCCTTCAGTGTATCTGACTTTTCCACCCAGATTCAAGCGCTTCGGAATGCTCATCTGTACTGGGAGACAGAGAAATTTGAAATCATGGCACACAAGGTTAGTTGGCATCTCCATTCGAACTGAGGATTTGCTTCTGACAAGTCTAAATGCTAACGTAGTGGCCGACACCATCAGATGCAGGAATACAAGACCACCAGAGGCTGGACGGCGTCACAGTGTCAGCAAAAATGGCAAGAACTACAGCTCGAGCCCGAGGAGAGTCTCAGAAGAAGTCAAAGCCCAGACGACGAAGACGAGCCTCCTGATTATCCCAACAAAAGACCGCGATAGCGTTTGCTTTCACCAAGTCCCGACTCTTCATTTTGCTCACTGGTTTTACGCAGCAGGTTTTCTGGACGTTTGATACCCCCTTGTGTGATCTTTTCTTTTGTTGGCTACTGGGTTTCCCTTTTGTTTTTTTTCCCTTTTGCATGGTGTTATGAGGAATGCCGTATAGACGATTGAGGTTTCTGCATATTTACCCGTTTCCTCCAGCGAATTTTCTATATATTTTCTTGGGATTTGAAGAGTTTCCTATAGTTAGGTTATTGGCCATGGTGTTTGCGGTAGGATCTTGAGATATTTCCTGTTCTTTTTTTCTGATTCTAGTTAACTACTCCACCCTATAGTTGCCAGCTTTTGAAATGGCAAGATGATCAGAGTTATCTTCATACAATCAAAATTGATACCTCTTTTAAGATGCTTATTTCCATCTCTTGAGCCCTGAATGCCAATCATCATTACAATGATCTCAAACTCTCCCCGCACGTGATGCAGTGATGCACCCGACCGGCACTGTCCGTGCGCTACCTAGTTCACACATAACTATAAAGTGCTTAACTGTACCAGAAACATTTATTGCAAAAATCCCATGGTTCCTCTCACCCGGGTCCTCGTGTTTTTTTTTATCCTCTACATGACTCGAAACTGAATATCTATTTCCGGGCCTGAAAGGACAAGGCGTGGTCAGGTTGGGAGCGATTCAAGTTGTGTCCCATTGTTTCAAGATTTGCTGCCACCCCCTGCGCATAGAACCGGGGGGGTTGATGTCCAGAGGCACCTTTCAGGAAACCAGGAAAAAAAAAAAGCGCCATTTATATCTAACCGAGGGCTGTGGTGGTTTGATGATAAGGAACGTGGAAACATGGTAGGAAATAATATAGCTAAAGAGCTGGCCGAATGTCTGGATGATTGGACGCTAAGAAGTTGTGCCGTTGCCAGTCCGCTAGTTAACTAACGTAGTTAATGAATTCACTAGTTAGTTAATTCGAGCACTAAGTAGTACTCAAGACTTCCCTGACCCTGGAAGCATTGCTGAGAGCTCCAAGTTAAGTGACACCCCCTGTCGACGCTTTTAGAACACTTAATACAGATCATGGGGCATCAAAGATATTGCCTCGACCGGAAAACAAAGCCATGATTCTGCGTTTCAAACGTCGAGCTCCCTCTGTGTGTGCGACCTTCCTTGTAACCTGCATATGTATATGTATCAGTCCTGTACTCCGTACCGATCTCACTCCCATCATGTGACCTGCAGCTGGTTCCCTGTCTTGGCAACCGCGGGCGCAGTAAAAAGCTTAGCCTTCCAGTTCCTGCATTGGAAGCCGCCGTCTGAAACAAGTTATTTTAATCGACTTGCCAAACACGGTGCTTCGCAATCGGTGTCCGAAGTTAAACGGCGATTCCTTAGCGGCTCCCAATAAATACGCGAAACCCGGTATTTCGGACAGTTGGGCCGCTTGCCTAGACCGGTAAGGTGCCGTTCTGGCGATCGACGCGGGGGCGGGGCGGAGGGGCGGAGTCGGCCACTAGTCGGTGACGTTACCCAATTGGGACGAGGGCCGCATTCCAGCGTAGCAATTCGAGCCTTGGCTGCCATTTTGAAGCGAACGTGCTCGGTGAACTAGTTGACGCTCTGTTGAGTCGTCTGCTTTTTTCTTCTGTGCTCGAGTTTGTATGATCCATAGCTCTGTCGCCCAAGGTTAAAACACGCTGTCGGGATCGTTCATTAATTCCCGAGAGTTTGGCTTGATCTCCCTTTTATATATCTACGGAGCACTCGTCTTGATCTTTCCTCTGTCGAATATCATCCAATGCTGCCTCCTGCCTTCTCGAGAAGAACCTTGTTACCAATTCCCACGCGAACTTCTGAACACGCATTGGCTGATTTCCTCTGTTAGCGTTTCAGGAACCAAACCAGCTCACGGGTCGGCAAACATATCAATTTCAAATCTGGGTTTTTAGCGGCGGTCTAGGAGCTTCGCTAAGAGGCCTTCTAGAAGAAGGCTAATTCTCGGTGTTGGATGTCGCAAAGGCAGTCCGTCTAGCCATTGATATTGTTATCAGGGTGATCCCCGTCATGTTCGTCGTCGTCGTCATCGATGACGGGGAATGTTAAAAGCGCAGCGACGCCACCTAGACCGTCAAGTCTCTTGCCGCTTTCGTGGTCTGAGCTCAACACTCGAACTTCCCCTCCCTCGACATCTCTCACGCGGTCAACAAGCGAAACCCATCGACGCCTCTCGTGGACGTCCTGAGCTCGGAAAAGTCTGTTGGAAATCAATAAAATGCCCCCACCTCGACCCACTGCACCTTGGTCAACCGCTGATTCTACTTCTTTGGCTCCGTAGGTGGCTTTATTCGTGTCCATTCTCAAATGGGTGAAGAAAGTGTCCATGATGGCGGTCTCACGCGCATATTTCGTGTTGGAGAGCCGCGCCTGTACCGAAGGAGACTTGAGAACCTCAGCTAGAGAGTGAACGTGGCCGGATGTGGAATGCACGACAATGATATTCTCTAGGAGAGACCTCAGCTCCGGTGTGCCTGATAGTGTGGATTGAATGTGCTTTTGGAAGCCAGCGGCAGTAAAACCGGGAGAAGCTAGCAGTATCGGCCTCGTCGAAGTGCCATTACTCGTCGTCGTCGACGTTAGCGAGCCACTAGATGTTTCTAGTACGCGAAGAAGACTCTCAAGCGTTACTTGGAAAAATTTCGCCAAGGCCTGGTCCAAATCCGTAAGCAAGCTCAGTCAAACGAGGAGAACAGCATAAAGGCGGCTTACCTTATCATGATCGCTTCCCCCTTGCCTCTTCCTCGGTATGGTCATTTCAACTTTCTGCTTCACCACTGTTTGAAACTGCCCGATAAAACAAATATTCGCCAGGCCTTCTTGCATCACTATTGCTATCGCCTCCGCCCTTCTCTTGTAGCCCTCGTCCACTGCATCCTTTAGCATTTCGATGGCCACACTATCCCATCCCCCAACGTCACCGGAAGACTCTGACCGCTTTTCAAGTGTAAAGTTCCTCTGTAGCTCCAAGTCCAACGTATGATACTGGCCAATTTTCGTATATGGGGTCTCCGCAGCAATCTGTCCTGACACATGGAGCTGGGAACTCTGGGGGTCAAAATCCAAGCTTTTCACTCGGATTTGCAATGTTAGATGGACTCGTGACGATGAGGTCGTCCCCGTGGTCGCGGTAGTTGTGACACGGCGAATAGCACTAGCTTTAAGTAGGTCATTAGGCCGAATGAGATTGTACGCATGCCACTACGAGAAGAATAACAGATACGTGAGCTGGTTTGAGCAGGATAAATTAAGAAAAGGGGCTCCATCATACCATGTCTTCTGGCTCCTCCGGAAAGAGCGTCACTGAACCTGAGCCGTCCTGCTCAATATTCCGTTTAATGAGCCTCATTGTTTATTTTCGATTCCGACCCCGCTTCGGTGCGACCTCAGAAATATATAATTACCGATGGGACCAGAGACTCGGGAGAATTGCGGCTAGAGATATCACAAAACAGATGATACCAAGCGTAATAGTGATCTAAAGCAGTGAGTCCTCCGATTATCGATCGTCGGGGATGGCAGCGAATTTGTATAGACTTAAGGCTCTTTGAAATGGGATTATCGATATATATGAATCCGACACCTATTTTTAGTTGCCCCGCAATGGAGCTGGTTCATCGTTATGACTAATTTATTATGTAATCGGCCTACCACTCAGTGGTTGGCCACTGAGGTCTTCATGCCCCCTTGGTTTTGGTACAAGGACTTCGGTCAACAGCTTGCACGTCTCATAGGGTTGATTATACACCTACCGTGATCCTTCGAAGCGTCCTCGGGCTCATTGAAGTTGTTGAGGGCGACGCACGGCGAAACACCAATTTCAGTTGCTGTAACAAGCATCCTCTCGCCTTAGAACCCGTCTGGCTTGTGACATATCATTGGAGGATCTTTAAACGCGTCTTCCAGTTTCTTTGCCCCGTAAGCGCTGTTGGACGCGATGCACCTCCACGCTTTTTAGCACGTGTTATCCAGCTTAGCGGGTCACTGAGGACCGTCACCGAGGACGTGATGAATAAGTTGGACGAAAGTCCAGATGCACCGTTCTAGACTCCAGCCACGACTGAGACCAATGACGGTGAGCCCTCCTATGGATGTTTAGCTTAATTTCCGGGAAGCTGGCCATCTTCACATTACCTGAACTCGGCCCCACCCACATATCAAAAAGATCTTGAATGGGAGTGTCAATCAGTTCCTGCATCAAACCGGTGATCCCCAAGGGAACAATGCCGCGGGTACCGCCGCCATCAATGCTCAAAATGCTTATGCCCGCGGTTGCTGGTTGCAGCACTGCAGTAAGCAAACCTTCATTCTAGCAAAGGAGACATTATGAGATGAAACTTCTCCTTGTTACCCAAAACCGCCTCATCATAATGTTGTCCCTAGTGACTTCGTCGGGACCTCTACTTGGAGAGTAAACACCAAGCGGAAAGAAGGTCAAAGAAAGCCAACAGCTTACCTGATACGGGAGTGTCATATCCTCCAATATTAACGTTTTGCCAGCGCAGACATCGAATGCGTCCGTGGTTGCTGCATCAATTGAACCTTCGGCTTCTATTGAGCGTCTGGTAATACCTGTGGCCCGAGATGTAGCCGTGAGGGATTACTGCAAGTGGGTGGAATCGAAGGAAGACCCCAAGCCGGGTTTGGCGGGCAAAGAATCCATTTCAGAACCTTCTGAGCGGTGGTCTTGTCGTAGCTAGACATGCTAAGATTATAAAAGGCTCTCAGTGTGAACGAAAGAGAGGTGGATGCGTTTGACGGATCGCAAGTTGCCTGAACCACCCTTACTTTGCCCGGAATAAAGGTCACAACAGTGGCCAAGAGGAATGTCAGCGTTGCATCCATCTAAAAAGGAGGAGAAATGGGCGGATGAACATACGATTAAAGGACCACCCGAGTATATTAATTCTGGATCCGTATATTTGTATTTCAAGGGATCCCAACGTACTTCATTCATCTGGCGGTATATGATCGAAGTGATCACCATTATTTCACCTCGAAGAACATAATCTTTACGACTCTCGTATGAGTGATCTCGGATCATAATGCCCCAGTGATCCGGCCGGTGTTGAAAGAGACGCTGGGCAAGAATGCGGCGGTGGCCGTCAGCGACCAAGCCTTGACGGAGGATGGAAAACAATGGGCCATGACACCTGTGGGACAGGAAGTGGGACAGTAAGCCACAAAGAGTCACAATGTAGACAAATAGAGATAAGAGACGCAAATTGTGTATTCTCTTACTTTGCTTCAGTTCTGATTGTAACTTCTTTTTTCACTAATCCCATCTAGCCAGTCCAACTATAGTCGGTGGGCGGGCTGAGGATTTTCTGGGAGTTTGGGCAGTTGATCCTCGCACATTCCTGGATAGCTCGTTCAAGACTTGGTGGTGTTGAAATCTCAACCTCTTCTATTGTTGTGTTCTTGCAAACCACTTCCAAATCCAATGTTTTCTGCAGCCAGTCAAAGGAGATCACATCTGGTGTTTCTGACCAGTACATGTGGAAAAGTGCACGCATCAGTTCACTGAACTCACGTGGGCCTGAGAAGGGCTTGTAGTTGATGCATTCCATGATAGTTGACGCTTGATGTTTTGACGTGACGCTTGGAGTTATCAATCCAAATCAAGCTTCATCTGCTTTGTCGAACATTAGTTACTTTGGCATCCCAACAGTTGTAGCCGCCTTGAGCACAAGCAACTAATCCGCTCATCACTTTTTCGCCAACTTTTTTTGGCTGGCGCTCTCTGGTATTGGGTGCTTTATTAGTTAGTACTTGCTCTTCTCAAGCTAGTCTTCTCAACTGTGGGCCTTTCTAGCTCCCTACTAACGTTTACCTTCAACTTTCAACCTCGTCCTGCCTTGTTCCTAACCGACGCACTCTCGCGTCTATTTTTCGAAATGGCGGAGCTTCACAGACGCAGGCGGAAGGCAGTTGATGGCCTGGGTACGATCCCACCCACTGAGCAGGAGTGGCTTGAAATGGCCACAGCGTATAGCTTGGTGAATGCCACACACCATGACCTGTGTTCCATTCACTTATGTAGTACTTCAAGAGAGGTTGGGTCCTGAATTCGCCGTCGTTGAGTGGTAGATTACGTGACGCTAGTTAGTCATCTTGTAATCGGAATACGGAGTTAGTGATACCCCGAATCTGATCAAGCTCACTTGCAGCAAGGACGAAGAAGAAGTCAACACGATGCGATCATTAATCCATCTATCATCAAATAACAATGAAATAACAGAAAACATCTTTAAGAACTTAGCCGAGAATATCAGAGCAACTCCCGTTTTCTCAAGCGCAAGCCGGTTGCCAGCTCACCCCAAGGAGAAATACCTAATCAATGGCCCTGGACGAAAGGGACATCAGACTCCCAAGTGCCCTATAACTCTGCTCGCGCATCCCGGATATTAGGTTGAAACGGCCACGACTACCATGGATTGAATTGGAGGTACCCCCTTCCAAGTCATCGGTATTGGACAGTTGAACCTGGTGCTGCGGGGGGATATTTTCTTTGTTCTCATCCGATCCGTCCGCCAATGGCGGTGGAAATCCGAGGTGCCTCTCCTGGAAGCTCATTCTCAACTGCATGATCAAAGAAGAGCCGAGTTCATCATATGGTGAATCTTCCCAGATTTGGCCTGGCGCCGAGAAGGGTCCTCGATTTGTTCCACTTGTGCCCCAGTTTTCATCGAACATCATTTCTGGATCAAATCTAGCTGGGAGCCTGTTATTTTCCGTGATCAATCTCCTTAGGAATGAGTTCTGGCGAATAACCGGGGCAGACTCCTCCGAGTCATATTCGAGATCGTTCCATTCTCTGTTTCCACTGGTGCTTCTCGGGAGTTCAGTTGGGGGAGAGTCCAAGTTACCGCCGCGGACTTCTATATCAAGTTGTCTCAGGATGCGACTACGAGAACTGGCTCCGTCATTTTGTGTTTGGTCTCCAGGCTCTGAAGCCTGATTTGCCCTGTTGCGATACTGACCCCTGTATCCCGTGAAAGTGCCGTCGTTAGATCCATCCGAAAGGGCTTCTGTATCGTTTTCGGAATCTCCATTAGACTCGGTGTCACCAAAACCGGAGTCGCCCCCGCTCCCCTCATCCTCCTCGTTCAAAACCGGATGGTTGGCCCCTCCACCTCTATCAGACCTGCCAATAGCGGTGTCAGTAAACCCCATGCCGAAGCTCCGCCCCTCTTCAATGGCCCCGATTGACGAAACATAACCGTAGTCTCTCGCATTGTTCGAACTGATTTCCCCGTTTTGTCCACTTTCAGCGATTCCGTTTTGAAGAACCTGGTTGTGACGCCCTTCGTTACTAGTGATGAAGCGTTGTCGATATTCAGATGTATCAATTTGAGAAGCGAATTCTTCACTTTCCGTGTCGATCTCTTCCGCTTGCTCATTTTCAACAATCCCATTTGAAAGACCTTGTTCTTGGCTCCATCTATCAGTGCTGCTGAGTCCTTGTCTATCTTCAGTGGTATCAATTTGAGAAGCAAATGTTTCACTGCCAGAGTAAATTCCCCCAAGTGACTCATCGTCGGAAATTTCACTGGGATGAACATGGTTGTGAGCTTCATCACTGGTGCTCAAATGTCGTCCTTGCTCAGGTGTTCCGAGTTCAGAAGCAAATCTTTCACTTTCAGAATCGATGCCTCCAGATGGCCCGTCTCCAGCCAGTTCATTTTCGGAAACAAGATCCTGACGCCCTTCAGTACTATGGGCCTGAGGAGTAGGCTCGTCACTGCCATTTACAATGCTGCCGGCAATAACCCCATTTATATTGGGAGCCTCTTCACCGCGAGGACGAGGGCGTCTGAGGTCGTCTAATAGCCTTCGTGCCTGCGCCATATCGAAGACACTAGTTCCTGGATTAGAGACAGGCCTCTGCCATCAAGGTCAGTGCATACTCGCCGAAACAGCTTCCTGGGCCTTTTGGGTGACGTACCTTCTTAGTATGAGATGAACCTTTTGAGATTCATTAGATTGTCTCTGCGCTTAGATGAATGGGTTCCTTTAGCAAGCTATTCTTAGATTAACGTGAACTTCAAAGGAAATGCTGAGAGAAATGCTCGAGCTAGAAGAACTAAGGTAATCTCCGTCTAGCAGTACATAAGTTGGTTTAATGAACTCTTTTATGAAGGAACAAGCCAGCAAGGATCAAACTGCTTTGTTATTCTCACTGTGTGCAAAGGACCTTTTCAGTGAGGATGAAGTGAGGTTCGGCTGTGTGTTGTCGGTGAGAGTTGTTGTCACTTCACTGGTGTTTTTTCTTGGGGGGTCGTCCAAACTGGTTTACAAGGAATTGAAGAATGCACAGATCTCATCTTCTTATATTGTGCTCTTGAACTCATTGAAGAAAATTTCTAGCTTACTTAAATCAGATACATCTTCGAGGTTGTTGAATATCAGAATGCATCGCCTGGGGAAAAGACCAGTTCGTTTCCACCAGAAACACACAAGGCTTCCCATATCAACGCAGGCGATTACATGCCAATTGGCTCCCCATCCTTGTGGGTAGTGGGATCCCAACAAACGTTTTGATATTCATCAGTTTCAAGGGACTGCATATCTTGTTCAGAGAGCTCGAAATCGAAAACATCAGCGTTCTCTACTATCCGCGACTCTGTTGCAGACTTTGGGAGGGGAACATAGCCCTACATACAAGGGGACGATGGTCAGTTTCCCGGCAAAATAGGAGGAGGGGAAGCCTAGGTACCTTTTGCAAGCTCCACCTAACAAGAACTTGAGCAGGACTTTTGTTGTGCTTCTTGGCTAATTCTTGCAAAATTGGATCATCCATCTTCGTCGCCTGTACAAGAGGACTGTATGCTTCAACAACCACATTACGCTTTCGAAGCCATTCGACAATGTCCCTCCTTGGGAGCCATGGGTGGATTTCGTATTGTCCAACGTCTATTTTGCCTCCGATAGACTTGTTATAGTCTTCTAATTCATCGAGATGGTGAACACCATAATTAGAGACACCGATTGAGCGAACTTTTCCTGCTTTTTGAGCCTCAACCAGGGCACGCCAGGAACCTTCACGGGCCTCTCGTCCTCCGTACGGGGCATGAAGGAGGATTCTAACAAGAAATTAGAGACCACCATCTCCATCTCACGAAAGGGGTACACCATTCGGAAGTCTTTTTTTTAGCGTTTTGAATTCAAACTTACAAGTCATAGTAGTCCATTTTTGCGGTCTTCAGACTCTCCTCGATGGATTGCTTCGTTGTGTCGTACCCTAATGCTCTCCATGGGACCTTCGTGGTGAAAAATATATCTTCCCGCTTCAGCTTGGACTTTCGAATGGCTTCTGCACATTCTGCTTCATTTTTATAGGCTCTGGCAGAGTCAATCTAATGGAAATATTAGTTAGTGCAAACTAATTCAATGAAATGAAACTTCGAAAACATATGGGGGTATTTACGTGTCTATATCCTGCCTCTAGAGCTTTCAATGTTACTTTCTCGGTAACGGCCGGAGCTCTATATAATTGTCAGTTGATTTTAAGCTTGGAGTCTAGTTCTCTTGTTATAGGAGACGAACGTTTGATAGACCTTTGTTGGAAAATGTAGTTAGCATACAGATGTTAAGCCTGACAAGGAGAAGTGTCGATAAACGGCGGACTTTCGCTTACCCCAAAACCAACGGCCGGGATCTCATATCCCGAGTTCATTTTATATGCGGTCTGCATAGTGAGTTTGGAAGCCATGTTTGCGAACCCACGATGTTGAACCGAACGGAAAGTGAGACTCGAAGATAATAGCGGTACAATCTTCAAAGGAAGAGAGGTATTCCTCACGGCGGGTGCTGCATGCGTTATTATACGAATAGAAGATCGCGCTTTGCCCCTCCAGACGCTCATTTCCAACTCGCACGAACGAAAGTGGAGTTAAGAAACACGGCGATGACGATAGTTTTAGGTGAACAAACCCGGAAAGCCAATTTTAGGTGGCCTAAACCACCTGGTTACCTCCAATTCTGTTAATAATAATAATCGCATCCCAATAAGGATTCACTTTCTGCGGACTTAAATGGACTTAACCGGGGGAAGTCAGGGGCTTTTGTTTCCATAGGTCCCGTCAAAACGCCCTTGTCCGAGAGGTTACTTCGAAGGTTTCCTTAGCCTCGATGCTGCGGGGGTTTCCTTTCCCACCGGCGTGGTGCGGCAAAGAAGGGCGGAACAATCTCGCGGTGCTCATAGCCCTTAGAGTGAAGCGCATTGGGAAATGCATGAACGGTTAATAAATTTTATTCTAGACGAGGCTCATGCGGGTAACGAACGGTAAAACATGATGCTATCAACAGAGATGAGACAAGGAGATCTATTGCCGGATAGGAAATGAAGTAGCCATATCAGCCCTCCGTAAAGAGCTATCATCATATACCATATTGGAAAAAGGCGGACGCAATCGAGTCAGGCTGTTAGGCCAAATAAATGGAATACTGATGGGACGAAGTATAAAATCACCACCATACTCCAATTAACGGGGTAGCGCCTTTTTGCGATTGCGATACGACTAAATTGTAATCTCCGCTCCGTGGTGCATGATGCCTGATGACCTTCCCTGCCACAAGTGTTGGATCATGATGGAGTCATTAAATTTTCGACCAAGACCGTCCCTATCGACACAAGCTCCGCTGAAAGCAAACGCCTTCTCTCCGGCCCCGCGTCAATATTTACTCGTCATCTTCTTCCTCCTCCTCGAGGGTTGTTCTGGCGATACGGTCCAAATCTCTCTGTCCGCTTTGCGTAATTCTGCGGCCACCCTTCTCCTCGTCAACTTCAACAACGCCGATCTTCTCGAGGGATTGGACGATCTTTCGGTCAACGGCACCGCTGGCGTTGACGTGGTGGGATGGAGCGGAGCCACGGTTCTTGGTGCCACCGTGGACCTTTCGTAGACGGCCAACACCAACAGTCTTGCGGAGGTAAATGTGACGGGCAACTGAAGCAGCGCGGACATAGAACCTGAAATATCAAAGTAAGCACACGGCCGGCTCGTAATCTTTATAGCACTTCATCTAAGCGGAGATGAAAGGTGCGGGTTCGTACCAATCGTCGGATTGAGGAGGGAGCTCTCTGGCGTTGGAGGTCTTCACGGTATCAACCCATCCTAAATGGTGTAAGCGTCAAGTTCAAGGCAGCTTCCCAGATCATCTGCCACGATATCCGCTAGAGCATAGAATAACGAACCTGGAATTGGGAGCTTTCCTTGTCTCTTCAAGAAAGCGGAGTACGCATTGATGAACTTTTGCGCCTAAATGGAACCGGATATCAGCATCATTCTGGCACCACATATTGCAGGTAAATTTTTATTCCCCAGCACGGCGATGGCTTCTGGCTCGTTTGTGTTGTCTTTCAGAATGTTTATCGTCTTTTGGCGAACCATCGCATCTTAGAACAGTAACCCAAAGGTCTTTCCCGCCCGCACATATGTATCTTTATCCTGCCCCCTTAAACCGCAGATACTAGAGAACGCCGCCGATTTTGACTAGTCCTTCTCATTCTTTTCCCCTTCACGCATCGAAACCCGAAGCCATGTCGCCTTGCCGAACGCAGTCACAGAAGAACATTGCAAAGGACTTACATCCACATCGCGAACAGTGACGCCTCCCATGATTGCTATCGTTGAATCAGCAAAAGCCTCGAATCGAAAATGAAGAGGAGAGCGCGGAGGCTTCTGAGGGAGCTGTGAAGGGTGCGTTTGTCGATGGTGTGTCGTCGCGTCGTTGTCGGGCTCAATCCCCTCGAAATTTCAATTCGTTTGGCTGTGGTTGTGTAGCGCACCAAAGGTGTGCTGTGGAGCCAATCCCCGATTGCTCGCTTATCCTATCTCGGCTTAGTGCTACCCTAATCAGCTTTAGTCACGTGAATTCACATTGGAATAGACTTAGTAAGCAGCCCAACCATCGCATCTTGCTATTTTACGTGGCTAGATTACGGAGTACAGAAGTGGACTTTCGAGATTTCGCCTGTCGATCTAGCAGAGGAAACACTCAAAGCCCCAAATCTCCTCGAAGCCCTGCGCAGTATCGTACAAATAAGGTATCAATAAAATGTGGATGACGTATTCCAGGTGGCCTGCACCGTTTGAACTCCTCAAGAGCTTCCTCGATCGTGAATCCTTTTCGTTCAATGAGATATGAAGTGAGGAAAAATCCCGTTCGATTGAACCCGTAATGGCAATGGACGCCGATGAGCGGGCGAGGGCGGCCGTTAATCCCTTCGTCCCTTATCCGAGCCGATATTTCTCCTTCCAGGCGATCCACCAAGGCAACGAAGTCACGCACTTCATCAATCGTGGGGGGGATCTTCGACACCGTTGGCAGTTTGTGATATTGGATTCCACCTTGATCCAATTGAGTCGGGTTATATATGGGGCTCTCATGGCTTATGTCAATGATAGCAAAGATGCGTGACTTCCACTTTTGCACGAATGGGAGCGGCGAATGTTCTTCGTCTAGCTCACGCAGTGTTTTCAACGCGAAGAATGTGTTTCCTACCGGGTTTGAAACCGGTGCCACTGCTTTCCATTTGGCAAGGTTTTTGACATCCCATTTCCCTGAAGTAGTGAGATGCTTTAATTGCCACCCGATAGACAAACGCGAGTCAGTGTAATTGCAAAGGAAATCTTGGATCAGACCGGACAGAGCCCGGTAGGTAGCACGGTCGTATGGAAGTGCATGGGAGGCCGGACTGGGGAATATAAAGGCTTTAACATTTGCTTTCTCCTTAGAGTAGGGTTCCCTATGTGAGACTGCTGGTATGTAGGAACTGGCGAGTATCGAAGATCCTGGAATGCCATCAGCTGGGCCCTTCAGAAGGGGACTCCGTCTCGATGGCATGTCACCCTCCCCCCCAATCTCCGGTTTATAAAAGCTCGAGGGTACTCCAAAATATTCTAGAAGTTTTGATACCTCAGTTGCTTTGGTAACCTGATCAGACTCTCCAGCGATGAAAAGAAGCGGAACGCAAACGCCTTTCCAAATTGCTTCTCCAGGGAGCCCACTCGTTGGTCTCCCACTGGAGTCGTATACCGGAAGCGTTCCCCACGCCATTCTTCTCCACACTGGAGTTCGACTTTGCTCATTAAATCGAAGTTGAAGCTTTTTTGTCTCAACATCTGCTTCCGCGCCTACAAACCTCGAGACACTCGGACTGTTAATGCCGCCTCTCCTGTCCCATCTCCTCCACGCATCGAATATCGGTTCGGGTATATGCAATAGCCTCCTAAATTGAGCAGTAGATGCTTGAGAGGGAGGGGCCGCTTGAGGGCAGAGAGAAATAAGCCCAATAATATGCTTCTTGAGCTGGTGAGCAATTGGAGATTTTGAGGAGGCGACGAGAGTAGCGATGGAACAGCCTAAACTATGCCCTATCAATATAACTTGTTGGTTCCTAAGTGCGTCACGATGTTGTTCAATCGCCGTCGCGAGAAGCGTAGCGAGTGCTTCTATAGAATAAGCTGACCAAGATTTTGGCGAAAAGGCGGATATTCCACAACCTGGAAAATCAATTCCAAAACATGGACCGACATTCGTAAGGGTCGTTAAAAGAGGGTGAAACTGGGCAAGGGAACCTCCCAAGCCATGTACAAAGACAAGTAGTGGTAACGGATTTGGTTTCGTGGGGAGCTTTTCCATGTGGGGATGAGGACAAAAGAAGGTCCTAATAGATGGGTACGTCGCAAAAGAAGTGGTATAACCAACGAACGAAGAATGCTTCTTTAGCAAACCAGGATCAGAGTTCTTATCACCTACACCTACTTAGCCAGAGCCTGAATTCAAAGATTTGAAGCGCCTTACCATAATGTGATAAAGTTTCAAAAGCATTGAAGCCTTGCTCATCGCCTTCTGATGTTTCCTCTTCGCTAGACGATTCCGCATTCTCAGGGAGATCCCTCGCCGTTCTGGCTGAGGTCCGTTTCCGAATACTGTTTGGTTTCTTCTGAGATTCTCCACGGATGCTTTGGTATAAAATACCAAGACTTAGAATAATGAGAATAATTGACGACGCCCATGACAATGGAACCGCGTAGGATCCTTCATCGCCAGCGCTCTTTTTTGAAGCGTGCTTCATTCCGGAGCCAGGGGCACCTCCTGAGACGATATCAACGATTGAAGTCCAACAAAGAAATGTTCCTTTTCTTGCCAATCCAACAGCACGTGAGAACTGAGACGGTAAATCAGGGAAAAGTGAAAGTATCCAGTCCATTTCGATATGGATTCATGGAGCAGCACCAGTGGTAGTGGTCGGGTATTGTACCCTAGCTTGACAATTGGGTTTTGGTATCAATGTGGCTAGCTTTCGTGAGGTACTATTAGCTTGCAATAGAACTTTGAATCAAGACGTAGGTCCAAGGCGTCTCCTTATATTGAGCGAAGCTTGACCACATATCACAGTGAAAGGCGGCAAGCATGTAACTAGGCAACGTAGGGGTCCAAAATTTCGTGAAAGGTCGCCGTAGTCTGTGGAACCCTGAGTCCAGCGTTGCTCTTCTTTTGCCGCGGTGATTGTTGACGGCCAGAACGGACGTTGGCATCTGATGGAGATTTGCGCAATGCGTCATACAGGGCTTAGTGCCAAGCGACAGCCAATTTTCTGGAATATTGCTGTTTTTGACCGATCACGTGCTACAGCAGTTATTCCCCGACCTCAATCATCATTTTAAACCGGCGTATCAATGACCTGGCGTTCTAAGCCGAAGACTTCTACTGCATGGTCCGACTATCCAGCTAACTTATGACCATTCCCACGGGAAAATGTGAGATTTTGTCTTGGGGCCATGGAGCAACGAGTCCCAGACAAATGGGTCATTTTGATCACAGGTTCCCGATCCCTCTTAAATCATCGATATAATATATATAGTTATACTCCAATTTGTTCCTCAGGAAGGGACGCAGATAACAGGATATCCAGGAGACCAATGTCTTTGATTAACTAGTTAATTTATAGTTAACTAGCCAAGATGTCAACACCTCTTATTGCGATGGGCGATTCGATCTTAAAGTGAATACTCGGATGTCGGGTATTCGGTATTCCTTCTAAAACGTATTGACATTAGGCTGCAGAAGAAACTAGCTACCGGGAAACCAAACTCTCCTCCCTTAAAATTGGTCTGTCATAGCACCGTTTGACGCATCCCCAACCAGCCTGGCATACTTGGCCAAAACGCCCCGGGTAACGCGTGGCTTCGGCGGCTTCCAGCTCTTCAAGCGCTGAGCGATCTCTTCATCAGAGACATCCATCACAAGCGAGTTGGTCTCCGCGTTGATAGTGATTGTATCGCCATCCTGGACGACAGCAATCGGACCACCAACAGCAGCTTCGGGGACAATATGCCCGACAATAAATCCGTGACTGGCACCTGAATACCTCCCATCTGTGATGAGAGCTACGTTTGTGAGTTTGGCACCCATCAGTGCAGCGCTGGCTTTGAGCTGTTCCGGCATTCCTGGACCTCCCTTTGGTCCTTCGTACCGCACGACTAGAACGAGGTTTTCCCCACGTGGAATTTCGCCACGGCTGAGGGCGGCATCCAATTCGTGCTCTTTGTCAAAGACGCGAGCCTTTCCTGTGAATTTTGTGCCTTCTTTTCCTGTGATTTTCGCGATGGAGCCACCTGGAGCAAGGTTGCCTCTAAGCACCTGAAGATGGCCAGTTGATTTGATCGGGTTGTCAAGTGAATGAATGATAATTTGGTCCTGCGGTAGGGAGGGGAAAGATGCGATGTTTTCTGCCAGTGTCTTACCAGTCACAGTGGGAATACCACCGTCCAGAAGTCCTGCGGCAACAAGCAATTTTTGAACCGACGGAATTCCTCCAACCTCGTATAGATCTGCCATGTAATACTTCCCACTTGGGGCAAGGTTTGCGATAAACGGGATTTTATCGCTTACACGCTGGATGTCGTCGAGGGTTAAGTGAACACCGGCAGATCTAGCCATGGCGATGAAATGAACGACACCGTTGGTACTTCCACCCAGGGCCATGGTCATGACAAGCGCATTTTCAAAGGAACGTTTCGTCAGCAAGTCGCGCGGTCTGATGTTCTTTTCCATGCACAATCTAATTGCATCGGCCGCTTTCACACACTCACGCATCTTGGCGGGCGATGTCGCCGGAGTGGAGGATGAGCCGGGAAGGGTTAGACCCATTGATTCAATCGCTGTTGCCATTGTATTTGCTGTGTACATCCCGGCACAGGACCCGGCACCGGAACAAGCGTGGGCTTCAATATCTTCCATGATTTCATCTTTGGTTTTGGTCCTGTCTCCACCATCGTCTGGCTGAACCAAAGTATCATAAGCATATGCACCGGCGGCTTCATAACAGGTTGAGATGTTGATGGGTCTTCGCAGCAGTTTCGAGTATCCAACTTGAATGGTGCCGCCATAAATCATCAGAGATGGACGATTGTGCCTTCCCATGGCCATGATACAGCCTGGCATGTTCTTGTCACATCCGGGTATAGCAATGCACCCATCGTGATATTGCGCGCATGTAACGGTCTCGATGCTGTCGGCGATGATTTCACGGGATTGCAGGGAGAAGCGCATGCCTACAGTAATGGAGAGAAGTTTAATGCCAGCTTCAAGGTCGATCCATCGACTACCGGCTGCTTACCTTCGTGGCCCATTGTTATTGCATCTGATACACCAATGGTGTTATACTGCCACCCCAGCATTCCCTGGTCCGTAATAGCCTTCTTGACGGTCTTGCCCAAATCTAGGAGATGCATGTTACAAGGGTTTCCCTCCCACCACACTGATGCGATGCCAACATGTGGGCTGGTCTTCATGGACTGTCGATCAGGTACTCCGGCAGCGTATAACATAGCCTAGGAAGCTCGTTTGCGGTTAGCAAGCCATCAACCCAGGACAGACCCCACAAGAGCGATCTGATGCCACGTCTTTACCTGAGCTCCAGGGAAATCATGGCCCTTGGTGATGAACTGAGAATACTTGTTCAAAGCCGGTTTGCCCTCCTGGGTCACGCCATCTGGAGCACAAGGGAACTCGATATATCTGGGCTCCTCTTTAGGCCCCTCCTGCACGGTGGGCGCTGTCGAAGTCATGTTTCAACTCTGCTTTGTCCTTTAAAATAGATGCAAATTCCAGCAGGAATGGTGTGGATCCAAGAGATACTTGTAAGCCCTGCGACGAATAACACCAAGTCCAAGGATCGCACGAAGGAAAGCCCTTTGTTTATTCCTCCTGCACCTGTTGACGATGGTTGTTGCCCCTCATATTCCCCAGAATTGAGTTTGGCCCCGCATCCTCAGTCTCCCGCGGCCTGAACGAGTCGCGGCTCACTAATTGGCATCTTACCATTGGGTGTTGGCCCGTCGCGCCGAAGGGTCAAAGCTCTCCGGGTAGATGGCTCATGTAGTTCCCCAGGCTGTGATGCGTCTGCTGGGAGGATTGTGCTCAATGATTGATGATGGGCCGAGTTCATATTCCTGACCCCGGTTCTAAGGTTACTTTAGCGCTGTGATACTCCAGGCAGTTTATTGACGTTTTCTGAAGCTGGGGATCCACTGCCTTGTATGAGAAGTAAGGTTGTTTCTCTCGAGCAGGGCGATCGACGTCTGGAATCTTAGACCTGGCAATGATAGCAATGATGTAGGAATCCGCTATTCCTAGGAATCACTCGGAATACTCTAGGCTTCACGATCTGGGGATGCTCTCAAAGTGGATTTGTATGGGCAGGCCTGTCGAGACTCGATGACGTCGATGGATGACGCAACTGGAGCCGGTCAAGCATGGATTCAACACGCCAACATTTGCTTGTCACAGCAGTTTATTTAAAGAGCAGGCATCTGCTGTGAGGATTGAACCCAACAGCGAATCTCCCCGGTGGAATATAGCGAATATCGACCTAGTTACACATCCTCAAACATGTCAGACAATTCGACGTTGATCAGGACCTCCCAGGTGCTGGGAATCACAGCTTCTGGGATTTTAGCCGGTACGAAAACCATCGCACGGCCCCGAGACCAGAGCAGCTCTAGCTAACAAAACACTCCCAGGTGGAATCCTCAACTTCTCTACCGTCCTTGTTCCCACCCTGCTCCTCCCTGCAACAACCAGCAGGCGCACTTTCGACTCCTCCTTCCAACCAGGCACCCCAGTTTCCCACATCACTTCGCAGTGGCACCACGCATACAGCCTGGGCAAATCCTTCGTCCCCCTCGCTTCCCTCATAACCGCCTCCGCGTACTCCTATCTGTCCTACCACTTCCGCCAGGGAACGCTCACCCGCCAGGGCAACGTCGTCGCTGCGAATTATTACCTCTTCGCCGCCCTGCTCACCGTCCTTCCCGTCCCATTCACGCTTTTGATCATGAAGCCCACAAACAGCAAGCTGATCACCAAAGCGGAGTCTGCAGAACGGGAAGGAATCGTCGCTCACAAGGAGGGCGATGTCCAGAGTGAATTGAAAGCTTCCAGGGAGGAGGCCGAGGTGCAGAGCTGGTTGAAGACCTGGGCTAGCTTGAACACGGTCAGGGGATTGTTCCCGTTTGCTGCGACCATCTGTGCTGCTATTGCAACTATTTCATAAATTGCGTGTTGGAGCCTATGGAATGAACTTGATGTGAAGGGGAATGTACCTCAACCCATGTACTATACAATATGATATTTCAGAAATATTGACTGCAACGAATCCGAGGAATTGATTAGCACAGTCCAGCCACCCAATGGAGGATTCAAAACACAAAAGCTGATTAAAAGTTCCGCCTCTTTTAGTAGTAATTAACCCTTCCTAGTGTAGCCAGGGAAATTTCAATTACAGGTGGCAACGGGAGGGAATTGAAACCCAGAATATGCCATTATTCGAACGACTTCAAAAGGCCACCCTCCGTAATAAATTAGAAAGCCAATGTTGGACGAGCTCGATTTCTTCAAAAGAAAGATTCACTTCTCATGCTCCGTTAAATCAATGCTGGTGTCATCTGTTTCGTCCTTTCCCACCGTTGCCCATAGGTTAGATTCATGCATACTATCTTCGGTCGTCGAGTCGTCTGTATGGTGGGTATCCGATGCTGCCTGGTCCTCTGTAACAAACCCAACATTCTTTCCACCACTTAACTGTGGTCGGGCTTCGTCGAGAACGTCGCCATTCCAAGCCTTGCACTGCTTAGCAACTCCTCCGCAACGGAGGCACATCCAACCTTCGCCTTCCTCCGCTTCAAGCTTCTGCGTAATACAAACGAAGCAATAGATGCACCCGCAGGGCATGGCTTCGTAAGGATTTGTGATATCCGTTTGAGCTGATCCGATGATCCCGCCGGACGCGCCGCCTATAGCCATTACATCGGACTCTGATGATGCTGTAGGATTCTGTTCTTGATAGCAGATGGCACATGTCCTTTCTGGCAAGAACCCTAATGGACCTTGATTTCTCGCCTCTTCATCGCCTTCGTCCTTTGCGCGAAGCGAGGACACTGTCTTTTTCCAAGCTCTCGAAAGCCAACGGCGCCAGCGGCCAATACCAACAAGTGGTAAAAGAAACAAAAGGAATTCAGTAAAGGCATGCCAAACGAGTTGCCTGTTAAGGTATTCGAATGATACCTCACGGCTGACCTGCATTGACGGGGGAGTTAATCGCATTCGCAAAATACGGTCGACCAGCGTTCGATATTTGCCATTAACAAGGAAGACAAGAAACGACACAAAAGCGGCCATCGAGTGAACAGTTGAGGCAAAATTTGTTAGTTTGGCAAGTGATTTGACACTTGGAGACGGCTGGATAATACGAGGATTAGCAATCTATGCGTGCAGCCTATACGGTATACATACTTCATCATACCCTCCCTCTTGATCTATTATCCAAGCGTCCCATTTGTCCCATGCATAGCGTCCTCCAACGGTCAAAATCCCGTACAAGACTTTCTGCCACTTGGCTGGCTGTCTGTATACCGGGCCCTTACTTCGACTATCTGTGTACTTGAGGTTCTGTAGTGCTGCGCCATATGAGGCATTATGATCCCATATCGACAGCTTAAATAGAATAGCACGAAGGGCGAAATCGATTTCGTGCGACCAATCCTCTCGCATGTGCCGCTATCACAAGAAACAAATTAGCTCAGCCAGTTACCTTCGGGTCCAGCAAATTAGTTTTCTCTCACCCCAAGGTATTTCAATCCTTCCCCAACCTGGCCTTTCAGGAGTCCTAGGAGCTCCTCGTCCAACAACTCAGCGTCAACCTGCCCAACCCTAAATGCCGGGCGTGTTCCCTCTCGGCCCTTGACCGTATCCCATAGTGCAAACCCACTATCGGTAGCTCTATTCAGCGGGTAAGGAAGGTTTCTGATCGCTGGGGGAAGTCGAGAGGATGGGTCGATTCGGGCATTCCGCGCTTCAGCTTCGCGCTGTTGTCGGCGCTCCAAGACACGAGCTTGTGCTGCAGCAAAATTCGCCGAAGTCATCGCAGCATCATCTTGTATTTTCAGCTAGTTGTATTATAATCAGGCCATCAACGATCGAAGCGTGGAATTGATAGCCAGTCACCATCACGGGAAACGAGCTTTCAGGCGCGGTTTGACCACCAAAACGGAAGCCGAGGTCTGGAGCTCGCCCGCGGTCACGTGTGCTTGTTCCGGGCCGACTTTATCGCCGGCAACCACTTCAACGACGATGAACACGGCATTTATATGTTTCGGGATCGAACTTCAGGCTTGAAGGGAGACAAAAATCGAGGCTCTTCTACTCAGATATTTACCTATCACGTTGGGGATCCGCAATATATGTAAATGCCATGAATGCAGAAGCAGATGACAGCCCGATTGCGAGTATACCTTTCTTCCTTCTCAACAGCCAGACAGCGGCAATGTATTGACTTCATCATTCTGGAGGGCAGACTTCCCTTCTTGACGATCTAGTGCTGAGGGATCATAAAAGATCCGGATGCACCTTGTAATCACTAATAAACTACCTTCAATGGGTTTTTTTCTCCCCGGAATCTGAGCCGTGGTTCATCGGGGCGGGCATCAATACGACGGTCCATACGAGTGCTTCCGACTTAACTATATGTTAGATCGAGGGATCAAATCGCATTTGCCTCCCAGTGTCTGCCGGCGGAATGAGGTTTCATAAAAAGGTCATGTGAAGTAATCCTCGTGTGAATTGCGGGTTAGCCAGAAGCTTTGTTTGTAAGCGCACGCAGCTGAGATTGTTTACAAAAACATTTCTTTCTGTTGATCCTGTAACCTCAGGTCTGTCAGTGTCTTGCATTCTCCCAATTCATTCATGCGGTTGGTCCGTGCGTATTGATGAGATCCTTCTTTGCTTCACCTAGCGTCATTGGCTTGTGATGTGTGAACTTTGAGGTCACTGGTGGGGTTGGTTTCCCTCCCAATAGTCTTATTCTTGGGAAGCTGTGCTGTTGACTCTGAAGACCTTGCAGCTCCATAACTCCTCTGCCTGCCATGCATCCGGTAATCGAAGTCCCCGGGGAAGCAAATCCTTTGTCGTACCAGACTGTCCTCAATGCTCTAATTTCCGCATCTTCAAATACTCAAATCCAGGTGCAGACAGGCACACAGCAGCTTCAAAATTGGGAGAAAGAACCGGGGTTTTACCATATACTACAGGTATATCTTAGCATGACTATATGATCTTGCCTGACGCTAATTCGTTATTTCTGCAGGATATCTTTACCAACTATTCCGTCCCTGAGGAGGCTCGGTACCTCTCGATCCTCCAGCTCAAGAATGGCGTTGACAGATACTGGCGAAAGACCTCCCCCAAGTAGGACCTGCTGGCCAATTCAACGACGGATGAACCTAATCGCTAACGAGCTCCGTTCGCAGTGCACTTAAACCAGACGTCAAACAACAGATAAAGAATAGGGCTCTAGAGGCTGGCGTAGTCGAGCCGGTACCCCAGCTCGCCCTCCACAATGCCCTCATGGTTGCAAAGATCCTGCGACTTGAGTTTCCCACAGAATGGTCAGTAGCATGCTCATGGCTAGTCCTGCCAATTGAGAAAATGCGGATTGCTAATGAGTTCTCCTTTACGGAGTAGGCCAGATGCTATCCCGAAAATTACCCAATTAGTCCGTTCCTCTGTTGGACCGGTATCTCATTCACTGCAGCTTTCCCGCTCGCTTCTAATCCTTCTACAAGTAGTTAAGGAACTGTCGACGGGCAAAATGCAACGAACTCGAAAGCCCTTCCAACTTGTAGCGCCTGAACTGTTTCACACACTTGCCAACATTTACGTCCAAAAAGTGGAAAGCGTGTTTTGCCTTTTGAAGGGTGAAGGAGTAGACGATGCTGGTGCCTTGGAGTCTGCTAGACAAAGCCTTGTTGCTTTGAAGATCATTCGCCGATTGATCATTTCCGGATATCCAAATCCTAATCGGGACACCGACGTGCAGCAGTTTTGGTCTCTCACTCTCCCGCATTTCGCGAATTTCGTCAACGTTTCAAAGCAAGAATCGTCACCTATTAATACCAGTGTTGCAGCATTGGTCAGCAGACACGCGGTTCAATTGTCGAAACTGCACTTGGCCATGGTCAAAGACCACCCAGCTGCATTTGTGTTACTTCCTCAATCCATTGACATGGCAAAGTACTACTGGGACCTAGTTGTAGAACTGGGGAAATCGTATGGGGCAACTGATCTTCAGCAGCTGAAGATTGGTACGGATGGCGATGCTGCTGATGAAGAAAAGACGCTTTTAGAGAAACTCGGGCTTAAAGGACTGCTTTTGCTAAGAGCATGTGCTAAACTCGCCTTCCAGCCAGTTCAGACATTTAAATATCAGTACCCCGAGGACAAAGAGGAGAGAGCTGCAGCGGTCAAGCTGGTAAAAACTCAGCTCCTCGGGGAAGAATTCGCTGTTCAAGTCATGGAACTCCTAGTTACTCGATTTTTTGTCTTTCGGGCAAGTGACTTGCGAGAATGGGAGGAAGAACCTGAAGAGTGGGAGAAGCGTGAAGAGGAAATCACAGACGCGTGGGAGTTCTCTATCCGCTCATGCTCTGAAAAGTTATTCCTTGATCTCATAATTCATTTCAAAGAGTCACTGGTTCCCAAGCTTTTGAACGTGTTTTATTCATATGCCAGTAAGTGTCTCAGGCCTTTGGAATTGGGTTGCTCTAACGCTTCTGCAGCTCCGCATAATCAAAACGTACTTCTGAAGGATTCCCTTTATGCGGCGGTTGGGCTGGCTGCTGCGTGTTTGGAGAAGACTCTGGATTTCAACGCGTTTCTATCATCTACGCTTATCCCAGAAGTGCAAATTCAACAACCAGGCTATAATATCCTTAGGCGGAGAATTGCTATCTTACTTGGACAGTGGATGCCAGTAAAACCGGGCGAATTAGATAGAAATTCTGTCTATCGGGTTTTCCAACATCTCCTCGACAAAAATGATCCGATCAACGATCAGGTGGTCCGGGTTACGGCTGGTCGGCAACTGAAAGCGGTCCTAGATCCATATGAATTCACAGCTGAAGGCTTCTTGCCATATGCCACTCCGATTCTTCAGTCCTTGATGAATCTGATCCAAGAAGCTGCTTTGCCAGAGACGAAAATGGCCCTTCTTGAAACTGTTAGAGTCGCCGTGATAAAATTGGAAGATCATGTAAGTCCTCAGGTAAACCGCATACTTTGCATCATGGTGCTAACCGAATTATCAAGATCTCCCCTTTTGCGGATCAAATCGTCACCCTACTACCACCTCTGTGGGACCAGTCTGGAGAGGAGCACCTGATGAAACAAGCAATACTGACACTTTTATCTTCCATCATCCACTCTATGAAGCAAGAATCCGTTCGGTATCATCCACTCGTCGTTCCGCTCATCCAGAAATCAACTGAGCCAGGATCGGTATGTTTCCTTGTCCCGTGCACTCTTGGTACGAATTGTTTCTGACCAGGCTTTCTATTAGGACTCTCTCGTATACCTGTTGGACGAATCTCTTGACTTGTGGTATGCCGTTCTGGCGCAAACCCCAGCTCCGCCGAGCTCACAGATTCTCTCACTCTTCCCGGCTCTGTTCCCCGTTTTCGAAATCGGCACCGAAAACATGCGGCAGGCCCTTGAAATCACAGAGTCTTACATTCTGCTTGCTCCCCAAGAATTTTTAAATGAACAAGTCCGCTTTCGCCTTCTTACAGTGTTAGAGCCGTTTGTCCGCGTAGACGTTCGACCACGCATCGGCTTGGCACCTTACCTCGCATCAGCCTTAATACGGATTGGGGAAACGGCTCCAAATGCAGACGAACAAACTTATGCTGCAATTGCGGAATCATTTGTGAGCAGCTCGTTCCTCCAGACTCTTCTTTCCGGCTTGCATGAGGCGCACGAAGCCAGCTTTTCAACTGGACCCAAGAAAAAATATTCGTCTATCGACGGCGTTGCGGAAACCGACTACTATTCCGTTCTTGCAAGGCTCGCATTAGCCAGCCCAGCTGTCTTTGTCTCAGCTATCAGGGCGGCAACGCACTCGATTCCCGAAGAGCAGACGCTTAAGTGGCTGTTAGAGGAGTGGTTTTTCCACTTTGATAGCATTGGCGATATAGCGACGAAGAAGCTTCACACATTAGCACTCACTCACCTCCTCTCGCTGGGTGGTCCTTCCTATCCACCGCCAGCTTGTTTTCTGAATAGTCTCCAATCCTACTTGAACATCTGGACCGATGTGATCACCGAATTAGCAGATGATACGGAGGGTACATCTGACGGCCGCGGGGGAGACTATCTGGTTAATTTAAATAATAGCGGCACGTATAACCCTGAGGGAAAATATCAAAATAATGAGCCTCCTGAAACCACCCGCCGCCGTGCATGGACAGTTGCGGATCCCATTCACCAGATCAACATACGTGAGTTTGTCACTGAGCATCTTCGTGCTCTAGTCGGAGCATGCGGCGGCCTTGATCGATTCCGGGAAGAATGGCTGGTCAACGTGGACCGGGAAGTGGTAAATGAATTTGCCAAGTTGGGTGTCTTCTGATACAAATTCTCCCCATTGCCCTGCATGGTTTGCATTTCAGGTTGGTATCAATCAGGACATCGATTTGGCGACATGGGACGGCGTCAGTCGTTGGCGTTTGCAGTCGGCTTGATTTAAATGGAATGCTTCCTCTTTAATGGGTCTGTTCATAAACAAGATCAAGCGTTGCAAGCATTTGAAGCCTTATTCCAGTGGATTTGATTCATGATGGACCTAGTAGAGTTACTTCTAGTTGGGAGTTTCAATGAAGACAATCTTGTTTCACAGATTAACTCCCATTTCGATCCTAATTCAATCTCGAAGCTGTCCTAAGAGTAACTTATCCCAGAGAATAATCCAAAGGGCAGCACGTCGCCGATGTTGTTCCGTGAATCACAATCACCTTCGGATCGGCTCCCGAGATAAAATCCCGAGCAGGATTTAGTTTATCCCGGTGCAAATCGCGCCCACATCGCGGCCGTCGAGTCTGTTGAAAGGGCGAGTCGAAGAAAAGAAGAGAATCCATGGATAACGGACCCCGCATCCCACGGATCTCTATCCGTCAACGAGGCCGATATTAAAAAAATGCCACCCCCGACTTTCTGTGTGACCAAGTCTGGAATCCCCATGCCAACCTCCCCTCCCTCCCCTCACCGTCTCTCCCATCTTCAGCTCGTGAACAGCAGTGCGGCCAATTGATTAATTAAAAAGAAATTAGAAAAACAAGGTGCTCTTCGACCCCCGCAAAAGGCCATGACCGTTTCCACCATCCCCCTCATCCTGGACAACAAGGATGTCGTGACACCCACCACATTCGCCGTGAACAGCCCCGGCACGGGCACGCTTGTCCACCAGTGCAGCAGCGCTTCCGTCGACCATGTCCAGCGCGCGGCGGACTCGGCGCACGCGGCATTCAAGCATTGGTCAAAGACGAAACCCGCCGTCCGCCGGGACATCATGCTCAGAGCTGCGGAGATCTACCTGCGACGAAAGGAGGAATTGCTCGGCTACTGCGCTGAAGAGACGGGCTCGTCGGGCCCGTTCCCGGAACTTACGTTTGGTCTGAGCCACCAGTTGCTGAAAGATGTAGCTGGGCGAGCGGCGGATATCGAAGGTGTTGTGCCGCAGCTGGTGGAGGACGGGCAGAGCGCGATTGTTTACAAAGTGCCGTATGGTGTGATTCTGAGCATGGTGCCCTGGTGAGTAAATTGAAAACTGCTTGTAGCTACTATCTAAGATCTTTCTTCTTTAGGAATGCTCCGTTCCCTCTCGGAATGCGCGCAATCGTCCTCCCCTTGATGGCGGGTAACACGGTGGTGCTGAAGGCGTCGGAACTATCGCCAAAGACATTCTGGGGCATTGTAGATGTCTTCCGCGAAGCCGGCTTGCCGGACGGGTGCCTCAATCTGGTTTACATTCGCCCATCGGATGCTGCCGAGGTCACAACGGCTCTGATTGCGCATCCAGCTGTTCGCAAAGTAAACTTCACGGGAAGCACGCTAGTAGGCAGCATCATTGCATCCACTGCGGGAAAATATATCAAGCCTGTTTTGCTGGAACTCGGCGGCAAGGCAAGCTCCCTGGTGCTTGATGATGCTGACCTCAAGAATGCCGCCACGCAGTGCGTGCTTGGAGCCTTTTTAAATGTGCGTCAGACGCCTACCTTGAGCTCTTTGGACTTGCCATGGTTGCTGACCTCTTTTCTTACCGGTAACAGGCTGGCCAAATTTGCATGTCTACCGAACGTATCATCGTCCAGCGAGCGGTGGCAGAGAAGTTCCGCTCCATCTTGGTCGAAACAATGGAGAACATGTACCACCACGAGGTTCCATCCCCGGTTCTTATTAATGCCGCACCTGTAGCCAAAAACAAGAAGCTTGTTTCCGATGCATTATCCCGAGGGGCAGGGATTGTTCACGGAGACCCTCACCGGGAGGAGTCGTCAGACACCAGAATGAAGCCAGTGATCCTTGAGAATGTGACTCCGGATATGGATATACACGCGACGGAGTCCTTTGGTCCCACGGTTGCCCTTTTCGTCGTGGACACGGAGGACGAAGCCATTGAGCTGGCGAATGACACAGAATACGGCCTGACGTCGGCAGTGTTCACCACCAGCCTGGGCAGAGGATTGCGCGTGGCTAAACAGATCGAATCGGGGTAAGTGCCGTCATCTTTTGCAGTCAAGCTGGCTCTGTGGGTTGAGACTGACTGTTGGTGTTCGCCTAGTGCGGTTCATATCAATTCGCTGACCGTCCACGATGAGCCCGGTTTGCCACACGGTGGGCTCAAGAAGAGCGGATTTGGTCGCTTTGGTGGTACCAGCGGTCTGAATGAGTTCTTGACCACAAAGTCCGTGACTTGGATGGATATCTAAACAAGATCAATAATGCAGATATCGTAGAAAGAAATCCAGAGACATTGCTTGCTCTCTGGTGAGGGTGTGGGTCAAGTTTTAGCCGCTCTGTTTCCGCCGCAAGCTTGTCTCTCGACAGCTCGACAGCTCTGAAGGAGTTTGAAACCTGGAGGCGGTGAGACCAACTCCGCTTATATGCCTTGTAATTACTAGTTTGGAGGTTTTGCGAAACAGACTGTCAAAAGAAAAAAAGCCAAAGGAGGAAGAGAGAGGTGTGCAACGGAACTCGAGAGAAAGTAGCCAGGATGCTGGCATCCGAAGCCGTTGACAATCGAATGACTCTTTTGCATTGATGTTGGTTCCGCATGCAACAGTTTGCCAGGAGGGTTGGGCACTATCGATGCCAAATCCTATGCGGTTGTTCCAGGGTGCTCCCTGCCATCGGGATGTCTCCTTTTTTCTTTCTCCGGCTATATGGTAGCAGTAATATGGAGAGCCCACTGTTCCCACAGTAAGAGTCATCCAACGACCATCACCAGGAGTGCGGAATAATACAAAGCTCTTCCCACACGCTAAGAGCGAAAAGTGAGGCTCCATCAGGTCCAGTTCTGGCTTCTGGGGTTGTGATGGGCCATGGGTACTCGGGAACGGAGACTCTGGCTGCTCCAGAGAGCTGGCTAGTTTGCTCTATATTGGGGCTCCTATTAATATAGTATGCCTCCAGGCATCCCTACCAACGAAATTTGCACGCTCTCCCTTGCAAGCGGAAAATTTGGCAAGGTTTGGCCCTTTTCAATAATTGCATCCACAGCGTTCAGCTCTGACCAAAGCGTTTATTACACGCGACGAGATGAGCAGGTCATCGCTGAACGTGTCTCTGGGAAAGTGTGGCAAGCGATCGACGGCCACGCTTGCGTGCTTATGCAGGAAAACAGTTAGGCCGCAGTTGTCTCATCGTTTCTCTTATTTTTTTGTTTTTTTCCGTTTGCTCTTCTCGTGGCAGCCTGCTGGCTCGAAAGAAAAGGGGCAGTCGGAGTTTCTCTAGTCGAATGGTCCGGTTGGCTGCATGGATCAAAGCGTTCATGCCGTCGAGCGCCGCCAGCCGCACCATGGATCCACGCATTTTTCGCCGGCCTGTCGCAGTGGACGGTTGGTGGCGAACAGAGGGACATGTTGCATTGTTCTGACTATTGAAGAATGCATCTTCAGATTCTGTCAACTTCCGGGATCGACTCCCAGGATCACAACCAGAGATACTCTGTACTCTGTCGAAAGCAACAAAACACCCGGCGGCGACTCAAAGTTACATTGCGATGTTGTCACGCGTTGTAACTCTGGCGGGGCACGCAGGCCAACCACGCAGGGTGTAAGAATCAGCCCGTATTGCCGCCGTATTGCTCCCCCACAGAACCGAGCGTGACCGTACAGCCCCGCCGGCAAACACGTGGGCTGCGCTCTGATTGGCCCGTGTGTTTCCGTGCAATTTCGCCTGGGGCTTGGCACTGCCCCGCTAGCCGGGCTGGGCCTAGCGCGGCGAGTCTTGTTCCTGGCGCTAGGCCCGGAACGGCAAAGTGTCAACTTGCGAGCCTCCGCGCCTTCATTTCTCGCGAGCCTTTTCTTCGCGGCCGCCCGCCTTTTGCTCTTCTTCTTCTTCTTCTCTTCTTCTCTCCATCGCTGCCGCTGTGCTTCCGTCGTTGTCTCTCCCACTCCAGTCGCTCTTTGACTCCCCCATCACTCCTGAGGACCCTGATCCTTCGCTCGCTATTGAATCCCCCCCGACTCCTCATCCTATCTAGATATCATTAATTTCTTCCCTCGCGAAGCCGACACCGCACCATGAAGTTCACCGCTGCCGTCTTCACTGCCCTTGTGGCCGTCGTCGCTGCTGTCAGACAGCCAGATTACTCCAAGCCCCCCCATGGCAACCCCATTGCCCTGCCAGGCCTCGCCGAACAGGTCCCCGCCGGCCAGGAGTACACCATCACCTGGACGCCCACCAGCCCCGGACCCGTCTCCATCCAGCTCCTCCGTGGCCCCAGTGAGAACGTCGTGCCCATCCAGGTCCTCACCCCTTCCACCCCCAACACCGGTTCCTTCAAGTGGACGCCCTCCCTCTCCCTCGAGGCAGATGTGAGCCGCTACGGCCTCCTTATCGTCGATGAGACCACCGGCGAGTACCAATGGTCCACCCAGTTCGGCATCAAGAACGACGCGCCCCAGCAGCCAACTCTCTCCGTCACCCGCACTGTCATCGAGCCACCCCAGAGCACTAACACCGATGTCGTCACCATCACCACCACCATCTGCGAGGAAACCACTGCTCCCTACCCAACCGGCACTGCCCCCGGCACCATCTCCTCCGTCTGGCCAACTGCTCCCACTAGCTACCGCGCCTCGCCCACTCCAACCATCCCACCCCCATTCGAGGGTGCTGCTGGCCGCAACGCCATCAGCCTCGGAGGAGCGTTCGTCGCCCTGGCTGCCGTCTTTGCTTTCTAAATCTCTTTCTTAATATCTGACGACCCGTCGGTGCTTCTGAGAGCGGTATCTTGATGAGCCACGTCCCGTGTTCTCGCTTCTTCTTTTGCTGATCTACGATTTTCGTCCCTGGTTCGATGCTCGCCCCGGGGGAAAAAGCACGATTTGCCGGCAAAGGAGGAAAACGGACCGGTTAATGCGGAGGAATCTTCTTCTTTCTAATCCATAAAATGGAAAGCATTGGTTGATTTCGCCTGTTCCTCTCTCCTTGATTTTGTGTCATTCTGTATTGAGAGTACATAAAGTATCTTTGATCCGATCTTGAGGAGGGGCTTCCAACCCGTGTTGAAGCAATTTCCTTTTCATCTTATTTCCACACTTCAATTGTACGTATTTATTACTTTCACGACCATGGTTTGGGAGGGGGGCAAAAGACACGGAAATTCCAAATAATGATTGACCTTTTTGCTTTCCGCCATCTTGTCCACAAAATCTCCGCTCTCCGATCAATGATCATCCCTTCTTGATCAAACTGAAGCTTCTGCAAAGCTCAGTTGTCTGACCTCATCGCGCGTTGTCGATCACCTCAACAAGCACGTTGCTCTGTGCTTTCGCGTCAAGAGATTTCCCCGCGATCAGCGTGCCTGTTGGTCCAATTGTTCCTGCAGATCATCCATCAGCCCGGCCCGTGGTGACACAAGGCAACTTACTGCCCGTCATCGTGGAACTCTTCTCGAAGGACTCACCAAAAAAGGACAGTATGGAATATCGTCGTGTTTTTTTTTTTTTTTTTTACCCCAAAGGTCGACAATTGATCATGAATGTTCTTTTTCGTCTGGTGTTTGAATGTTTCACACGTCTGTCATGAATAGTTCCAAAAACACATCCCCTGTTGAAACATGTGAGCCGGGTCAATATCACCATTCAACATTTGATCTTCAACTGTGTCACCACTCCAGATAATATTTTCACTAAACTAATTGTACACTGAAGAGCTCCAAAGCTTGGCCCTCGACTCTGTGAAACGAAACAAGTGCTCCGGAATTAAACTAAAATGCAACTAATTTTCATCCAAGTCGTCATCATCGTATGAAGTCGTAAGGGATTAAAGCACCAAGAGATATGGAAATGAAACAGGATCCTGGAATATGGGATCCCCTAGCAAACGAAGATGATGTCGAACTGCTCTACGGGCGATTACTCTCCTCGATCGACATTATTCGACCCTCTGCCAGGAAGGAGTTTTACTCCGTTTCGCAATAGACATGCGTACACCCTGCACCTCTTCCTGTATCCAATTCGGGCCCAATCGCAGGTAGGAAATCATTGCGATCTGGTGTCTCTTCTATGGCGCACCGATGCATTATCGATGCCGGGCCATCTTTGACCGCTAGCCCAATGGCTAGCGCAATCGCAAGGGAGAATTTCGCCCATAGTCTAAAAGAATGTGGAAGACTAGTGCTGGATATATTAGCAGGCTGTTCGCAGTCGCGTGAATCGCTACTGCTAGATTTCGACCGCTTTCTCAGCTCTTGTATAGACAGCCGAGTCCTGGCGTAATTCCGAACAGTCCCATTGGGACCTGCGTGACCAAGATTCCCTGGTCCAGTTGACTCTGTGGACCAGTGGTATTGAGGTGACCATGCAGCCTGCTCTCCCAGGGAGCGCCTAAACCATTCATTCCTTCTTTGCTGCCCTAGAATTAACCCAAGAACCCACCAGGGTAGTTTCCCTATCTTCTTCCAATTAGAGTGCCATGAGTTGAACAGGATACGCTTTGCAAGGACGATCGAGCCACGCATGATGTCGCGGAACCAATGCGAGTCTCCAAAAGTGTTTTCAGGGCTCGGTCCTGCCTGTGATTTGGCAGAGCTAAATTGCCTTGATTCAAGCGGACTAGTCTCAGAGCTCTGGATGCCCCCGGGAACCAAGTCGCGTTTGTTCTTGCGGTAGGATCCGCCGTGTACAACGACAGTCATAGCTGCGGGAGAATACGAATCGTTCGTCACTCCATGATAAGACAGCCGTTTGGATGGCTCAGGATCCGGACGCGAATGACGAGTCGGTGTTTCGAAGAATCCTGATGGGTGTAGATGGCCGTTGGGAAAGCAGCCATCCTCGTACTCTTCGTCAAAAGGACCGCCTCCATATGGGACCTCTGCGGGGTCAGACAACTCATGACCAGATATCGCCTCCTCGAAGGATTGATACTGGTTATTGTTCCCTTCTAGAGCATTGAGGGTATCTTCGTGAAACTGAACAAAGTTTGAAGGGCTGTGCCATTCGTTCGCCGAATAAGTACGAGAATGAGTTGCGTAATCATTGTTGTCAGCCGGATAACTTGGGGTCGACGGTGACAACAGAGATGAGGTAGCAGGTAGGATGAATGGCTTTAATGTACAGGACCCTGAGGGGAACCGTCGCATTCTCCGGTGTCGTCGTGGAAGGTCGAGTGGCAGTGGGAAAGCGGTCCCCCAGAGAGATGGGCTAGATAACTGGGAAATCGTGGATGATCGTTGAGAGTTGTACAGGCGTGTCGATGCCATGGAACAGGAATCACCCAGGCCAGAGTCGAGCGAGCCTAATTCTGACATTGGTCTTCGATAGGTCGCTGTTTCTATATAATTGATGTCGAGGTCAGGAATTTCGCTGGGAGCATCCGGGCCGCCATCGGTATCCTGGGGATCCGATTCAGGCATCATCAAGGGCTGGAAAAGCGGTCGCCGGATTGGCGACAGAGGTATCCGAGAAAACATCGATCTGGGCCTGGGGGTCCGACGAATTGGGTCGTCGTCCGGGGAGATAAATTCGGATCCAATATTTGTCCTACAACCTTGTTCTGATTTCGCTGGAGATTGCGCAAGCAGACCTGTCAGCACGTCGACTCTCTTCTCAAGACTCCTGTTGGTCGAATTGACGGCCTCCAGGCTTCGCAGCCGCTGATGATCCATCTCAGCTTCCCATTGGAGTTCCTTGATTTTGTTATCTTTGGTCTCCACCTCTCGCTCCAACAAACGTAGTTTTGATCGCAACTGGGATTCCCGGTCAATCATCACGGCCATTTCCTCCTTCAATCGATCCTCAAACCGATCCTCCCACTCCGAGAGCTCCTGCTTCAAGAGTTTGTGTTCAGTACTCAGGGCCTTATATTTCGATGCATGATTATTGGCCGTTGGAGAATCGCCAGAATCGGTGCGGCTTAACGAGGCAGCCAGTTGAGTCTCTAAATGTTCTATGTATCGAGACGTCCCGCGGCTGACGATCCGAGTCGAAGTTGGCCGCTTCTGACGATCAAAACCCGTGGAAGGGAGTCTATCTGTAAAAGGTGATAGGTTATTTGGCCGCATCGTTGCTTCTGGAGAAAAAGGTTCCAAAAGAGGTGTTTTGGGACGGGAATTGTCGAAACGCAGGTGCGAAGCGTCCGCGGCTATCGTGTCGTCCTTGTCCAATTCTTGAAACAGCGTAGAGACGAAAGGACGCGCTGGCTGCGGCTTGCGGCGTTGATTAGAAATCTGAATCTCCCGTAGAACCCTTGTAGATTTTCTTTGTGATACATCCGCTTCTATTTCATCGCTCCCTATCACAAGGCGCCCGTTTTCCACACTGCAATTTTCTTTATCCTCGTCTCGTTCTCGCAGCCCAGCAAGGCTCTTCTGGACTGCGAATTGAGGACTTATCGGTCGATGGGCAGGAAGCAAGCCGCCGCGAAAGCCAGCATTGCGTAGCTGCAGCCGTCGATTCTGTCGACTAAACGGAGAGTCGAATGAGCGCAGCGTCGGCGACGTGCAAGGAGAACGATTGGGGGTGAGAAAGGAACTGCTCCGCTGAGAGGAAGGGCTTCGTCGCTGTTTATCACGCGGGGAGGATGTGGAGGAGCGCGATAAGGGGGAATCAGGATCGGACAGGATACTGGAGTCCATAGTTTGGGAAATGAGGCAGCCGTCTTATTCGACGTCGTCTTGTCTCCATATCGCGTCTGAAGGGACTCGAGAAAGAACGGCGGCGCCGATTGGTCAATTGCCGGGAGATCCTTGGGCGGACAAGATCATAGAACAGCCATCAGCCGAGGAATCATCAGTTGCGTCTTTAATGGGTTCAGGGTTGGGCCTGTGCAAATGCAGACTGCACGATGCCCGTCAAGCAGTCCCGAAGGTTGAGGTTCGAGGATTGCTGCAAGCGGAGGAGTTGCGGTGTTGCCCAGGGCACCTTCCCAAGGCAGTCTTGCTCGTTGTTTCCCTCTGAAGCCGATGTTTTTGTTTGTTGTTTCCGCTTTTGTTTGTTTGGCATGTGGTTCCTGCCAAGAACACAGTGGGTTCCTGCTCCACTCGGCAATTTGCGCATTTTCATCCCAATTTGGTCCAGCAAAAACATCGGGATTGATATTATTGTGACACATGGGCGAGGCGACGAGGTGGAGGGGTGGTCGATCCGCGTCTAACACAATAGAGCTATTCTCATGTGAAAACCCCCAATCATATCCAATTAATGGGCCTCAATGGCAGGAGACGATTGAAGCGCAAACAAAGCAAACAAATCAGTATCACGTGCTGAAAGGCGGTCAAAAATTCCTCGGCGGCATTATTTTTGGGCTTCCACTCTGATTGACGAGTACAGACTTCAACAACGCAGAGCTGTTCACGGGTTTGTATTGCGTGTTCGGCGATTGTCCTGTCTTCTAGCAATAATGGCCCAAGGAGCGGTCAAGAAGTCGAAGTCGGCATCTTCCACTGCCAAAAGGTTGGCCGTTCCTAACACCCTGTCCATCTCCCTCAACACACCGGCCAAAGACTAACCGCCAATTTTTGATAGACCGTCCGCCCTGGGCCCTAAAAAGGGTGCCCGTGCAATTGCCCCCAAAAAAGCGGCCCTGGTCAAGCAGAAAAAATTAACAAAGGTGTGCAACATCATCCTAGGCCTGTTCGCCATCAACCTGGTACATCGCGGACACGAAACGGGAAAGCTGACGCCATGGGCTGTCTTTAGAAACTCTCCGCCGGTCTTACCGCTAAAATGGAACGAAACCTCGCTGAGAAAGCAGGTCACTTGGAACTACTCCGTGGGGGGAAGAAAGATGGCACTGGCAAGAAGAAATGAGTGGTGATGGCTGGATTGCCGGGAACATAGAATTGAAAACGATACTGATCTTCGGCGACTGTATTCAAAGGAGCGGTGGTATCCTTGCCTGGTGGATCGTGCTGCGCCTAGTTAGGCCTACATTTCTGCACCTCCGGTTTTGAACATCGGAACGGTGACAAACTTGCACCTGGCCGCAAAAGAGTAGCCAGGTGAGCACTTATGACAACCTCCACCATGCCTTGGTATGGCGTCAACGTACGTCGTGGTCATTAATGCAAACAACTAAGATTTTGACTTGCATCTTGCGGGCCGAAACATAGCGTTGGACTCTCGTCCACTTAGCCATATATAAAAAAGCAGATTGGAGCTTTTTGTTTCTCTGTTACCACGGCCCTCTTCGAACTACGATTCCGGGAGACAATATGAGGGAGAGCTTTTTTGTCACAGCCATTCAAGCGTGCCATTGTACCTTGTCGATTAGAGCTGGTATTCCTACATGTGATATTCCCATACCCTAGAATTCTACCAATCCTGGAGCCTCTGTCTCTATTGGCATTCATATATTTGAAATACGGTCCCGTACTCCAGCTTGTTTAAGAAGTGCTTTGCCTCTTTGCATCCACATTTCGAACCCTTCAATAGTAGCCACCGAAGGGAAATCGTCCCAAACTTGGTCTGCGTCCGCATAAGTGGACCAGACACCGTCAAGCTCGCCCGGTGTCATCCATGATGGCAGCTTGAGCTTCACAGACACATAATAAAAATACAACACTTTGCAGAGACCTTTCACTCGGTCCTCGTATCGTTCCTTGTGGATGTCCGGTTTCGTTCCGCCGTCGCCGAGGAGTTCCCACCACGACACTCTCCAACGAAGGCTCACGAGGATGTGGCCCAACTGCGACACAAATTTGAGAAAGGACTCGTAGGGAATATCGTCCCACTTGTTTTTGTTAAGAGCGTGTTGGAGAACCCTATAACCATCCACTTCGAGTTTGCGACAAAATATCTGAGATAGCTGGGCGGCCAGTAGGATCTCTATCCGATCGTTCGGATCTTCAATGTTCATTGGACGGTCTAGAATACCCTCTGACTGAGGGATGAAATCATAACTAGCGCGACTGGGCATGTTGTTCCATTTTGACAGGAGGGACTGGAAGCCCAGCGGTAGAATTAGTGTCTTTGCTACCTAACCTTGGGATTCGATGGCCACTTACGATCACATCCCCAGTAGGATTGCACCCCTTGATACATTTCTGCCAGTTATTAAACTTCAGGACGTGGTTGTCGATAAATGCTCGCAAATCAAACAATCTCTGGTCTTGGCTTGCTGGACAATTCTTCAAGAAGTCATAAGACTCCTTCAAATCCAAAATGCAGAGCGTCCCCCAAGCCTGTCGAACACGGATGTTGAATTTTCCCTGCCGTTCCTCTAGGGAGGAGATAAATTGCTCGAAGTCAAGTGTGGACGGTAGCTCCATGCGGCGCCTCGACCGGCCATCCAGAGTAAGGTGATTGACAGCACGTTGTGCTAAGGAACGCAGTTAGAATAGCAAAGAGCGAAAATGAACGGGATGGGTCCTTACAGATGTAATTGCAGGTCCCCGATTCTACGATTTGGAAAAAGTCCGCACGTACGCATGGCTGCTCGGCAATTACAGGTTTGACCTGTTCCACACATGCGGTGCACGGGTTTTGACCAGAGCACTAAAGGTGTCCTCGTCAGTTCCAAGCTGCAACAAAACTACTGCGGATGAGTTCCATACCTTTTTCTTGGATAACCGGCACCAGAGACAGACACTTTTATCCTTTCTTCTCAATGCTGCGTCGCGCCTCCCATCAGCTGACAAAGGCCCCTGTCGACGCGCCCTGATAATCGGGAATATTTGCGGCGAATTCGTGATTGAACCTCCTTTACCATCTTCCTGAACTATTTGAAAAGATGCTTTTGGTATTGCTATCGCCCTCGTGTGAGCCCCATTGCTTTTCTTCCGCTCCCTCTCCGAGGCTCTTGACCTGATATCAGATGTTTTCTGTTGTATCCCCGGGAGAAAAGACTTCCGTTTGCCTGAGTGCGGTGATCCTTTTGAAACGGTTACTCTTGATGCTTGTTCCCTGGAGTTTTGACATCCCTGCAGACTCGAGTGTTTGGTTCGATTATCCGATGAACTTCCAGAAGCACAGAATTGCTCTCCGTCATTCGACGGCTTATTCAATGATCCAACGGGACTCGGAGGAGAATCAGACCCAGACGCTGACGGATCTGAACTCGATTTCAACTCATGCCTATCGGAAGCTCGAGTTAATTCCGAGAAACAAGATGGATTTAGCTGAAGACTTTGTATATCTTGAGCTATGTTGTTAGTTGCAGTTGATACTCTATGAACAAGGCCTTCATGAGCTCCGAACAACAAACTTCCGGTGCTTTTGGGCCCCTTTAGCTTATAGTTTCGGTCATGAACCTCTAGTGAATGTTGGGGCCTTTCGGGTATGCAAAAGCTCATTGCGCCGGTATTTACTGGCCACGAATTTGAAATTCCTTGGCTGATATCTTCCTTCAGGTTACGCGGCAAAGTACTGCCTCCAGTGCAATGGGCATCAGGTGTCTGCATTAGGCTACGCGAAAGTGTGTCGATTTCACCAAGGGGTGTCACGGTACTGAAATAGCATGGGGCTGTCGGAAGCGGGTGTTCACTGCTGGCCATACTCGACTCCCACTCCGGTATACGAGGCTCCTGCTCCCAGGTGTGATAATCAAAGGGCCAGTATTCGGGCATTTTCGTAAGTTGTTCGAAGGTAAAGAAATCCTGCATTCCGGAGACCCTGCCAATACTCTCTCAGAATCTCGACATCTTGTTCAGCGTTATAGGGGTTGCATACTTATGTTCAGGATGGTTCAGCGATCGGGGCCAAGCATGTACCATCGCGGGGGCATCTTCTTCTAAGCCATAGGCAGCTTTTAAATGCTGTAGTACTTGGTTCGACATTTGTGCATCTGGCTTCTGGGTATGATGCCGTTTGATGTTGGGATATTGCCCACTTGTCGACGGATTCCATTGATCTACCAAATCCAGGTCCCGCATTATTGTATCTCGAACAGCGGGGGTCATACTAAATGCCAGAGGTCCAAACGGTCCCTGGTCAACCGTCCTCGAAGAAATCAAACGGCATGCGTGATTGTTTTGATTCAAATCGAAAACCTGGAACGACGCTGGAGCGAGTGACTTCTATACGGCTTGAACGTACGGAGCACTTGGAAAGCAAGCCTTTACAAAAAGGCAAAAAGGTTTGCCCCGTTCCCTGGACTGATTTGGAATCTGTGGCTTCTGATCACAGTTTTGAAGCCCGATTTGCCCCCAGAAAGAAACGCTCAGCAGCAGATTTGCGCTAATGCAAGTGAGGGGCCGGGATGCGGGCGGAATCACGAAGCTATCACAATATCAGGTAGACGAGAGTAAACACAGAACAGAGTCCAATGTTGGTGGCCGTGTCTAACGATGAGGAGATAGGTATCGGTGTAGGAAAAAAAAAAGGAAAGAGAGAGAAAAAATATTTCCAGGCCATGCAAAGAAATCTCTTGCACGGGGCACTTTGTAGGTGCATAATAGCTCTTTGGCGGGCTCGACTAAACCCCTGCCCCCGATAGCGGAGAGCGGCATAATGATCCGCTCCACTCCCAGAGTCACAAAAGGCATGAGAACAAAAAGCCATCACCAGAAGTCCAATAGCACGGTTCCCCAGTTGGGTTGACCAGAAAAAACCTCAACAGTGCCAGAATGGGCATACCACGGACCGCTGAATTTGGTTTCCTCGGATTGGGTCGCAAGGAGATCAACCAGAAATCACGGTGTGTTTGTGACTGTCTAGAACACCGTGAGCGTAGAAGATGAGGTTGATATATGTTGCTGTGTCACGAAAATGCCTCACAGAGCGGGATGGTGTCATCTGAGGACTCGGGGGGCTAGGGTAGTTATGTAAGCATCTCTGCAGTGGGCAGGGCCGGAAGTTTGATATTATTACTCTTCAAACACAATGCAAGTTTGAGGTTCAAGAAATATTGTTTGAAATCAAGGGTGTGTAGGATGGTTATCGGCGATATAGGCAGAGAATTAAAAGTATGACGAGAAGTAACGGGGAACATGGGTCATTATAAAGCTCTTCTTATAAAGCTCTTCTTAGCGCGCAAACTTCAAGGTATCAAATAGCCCTTGCAGCTTCACCGGCTCCGCTTTCCACTACTGTCGCCTGTTCGGCTTTCATCTTCCCCTTGCCAACTCCGCCCTCGCCGACACCCATTCTGCGGGCAACATAACGCTGTGCAATAACACCCACGCCTAGAGTAAGCGCATCCTCAACCCATTCTGCCACCCATTCACGAGGATCAACCCCTCCACTCTCAATAATCTCTGCAATGGTTTCAGGGACGAAATATTGGGTAGTCTCTGGCGCGTTGAAGTTGGATTCAGGTGCGGGTGCATCAAGCCAATCAATCCACTTTTGCGGAATGGATTGAGAAATGGTATGGAATGCGATTCCGTGGACCGGGTCATGGAGATAGAAAGCGAACGAGATCTCTTCCTCAACATCTGCGCTTGGCTCAACTACACCGGAAGTGTTCTCTGCTTCGCCGCTGGGCCCAGCTTGAAAGTATTCCGACGAGGCAGGCTGAGTCAGGGCTTGGATGGAGAGGAAGATGTCACTGTTGCGAACGGGGTTAGATTCTGACAATATTTCGGACGCCTGTCTTGCAGCTTCTTCAACACCGCCTCGGGCAGCATAATGATCGTTTGCATAGGCTTCTGCACTCGCTCGGGCAAGTTTTGTGGCCGCCACTGCACCCTTGATAGCAGATATCGAACGAGGCTGGTCGGATGACACGTAGCGCCACCAGGGGCCATCATTCCAACCAGCAGTAGATCTTTGAGATGCTGAGGATTCCAAACCCCGTTTAGGCCCAGATTCTTGGCCCCGTTGAACCACCAGGAGATCACCTCCCTCAACCTGTGCCATGACACGCGCAAAAACGTTATAGATCAAAGAATCGAGGGACGGATACCCTCGGAGATCATGGGTAATATGAATCTGAAGTCGTTCGTGGGATGAAATGGGAGGAGCTAGAGTGTGAATAAAAGAAGTGAACGTAGGCAGCGCGAGGGTCTTTAATTCTCCGCCTAGTACAGGGTTGGATGTAAGCAGTGGGAAACGAAGCCGAACTGGACAGCGGACATACCTAAGCCCCTGAGCACACCAACATTCCCCCGGACCTGATCCGCCCACCGTTGAGCTTCTTCGTTTTTTTGAATCTCTTTCACGGCAGCCTCGGCCTGCTTCATCGCCGCACTGGCAGTCGCAAAAATCCCACCCCACCAACCACCCCCGGCGCTCTTGGGCTGAGGATCCGGTGTGATGGGGGTTGATCCAGCTTCCTCCGACGTTGTATCCGCTGGAGTCATGCTCTTATGGTACGGTCTTGTGCTGTCGCCTGATTTTCTCGACAGGGTCTTCTCCTCACTCGATCTATCGGCGGGCGGTGTGGTCGTGGAGACGCTCTTTGACTGGGGTGTGGAAGGCCGGCTCATCGGTCTCTGTGAAGCGAGGTTTTGGAGCTCAGCTAGGACATCTTGGTCCGCACTGTCCTGGGGCTCCGTTGCGGAGGCATTGTCAACGCCGGCATTGTCAACATTCAGGTCATCGAACTGGGCGAGAAGCTCGGCGTCAGTAGGGACGGGTTTCTTCGACATCGTTTGAGCTTTGTGCTGTGTTATGACAGTCCAGGCAGATTCATCAAAAGTGGCGTCAGTGGATTGTCCATCAGCTAGCCTGTATTCCTGCAAATTCCCGAGCTGTCCGAGCTGTGGGAGATGCGTGTCAAGTGATGTTCTGTGATGCTGCCAAGCCGCTGAGTCTGGAGAAGGCCGGGCTCGCGGTTAGTGGCTTGGCGCAAGCTCATGCATGTCGCGAGATATATCGATTCCCAGCACTTGTTTAGGATGCAGATGAGATTTGATTTGATACGACAAAACGTGTGCTGTTTCCAAGGATCATCGGGGCGAGGCGCACGAACGAACCTCGCTGGCCCAAGGGTTGCCGAATAAATCGTCTCTAGCAAAGTGCGTTCAAATGGAATCGGGAATCTGTTTAGCGGGACAGCCCTTTATCCGGGCAACCTGCCAGCGCGGGAAAATGCCGAGCAGTTCCGTTATCCAAGCGGCGCACATTCCGACGCGGGGCTCCAGTATTTTGTATATTACTCTACCTGGTTATTCCTATATTTTGATCTATCTATAATAGATTAATACCATTTCAACGAGGCTCGTTGTGAAGTGTCTAGATTAAGCTTCCAAACACCCGGTTAACCGCATCACGGCGTTTCCGCAACCATGAAAATTCCATACACCGCCAACCCCCCTCCAACCACCACCGACGAGGAGGCCTCAATCCTCCAAAAGGTCCAGGACCGCAGAGGTGCAAGCGGCCTGCTGCCCCTCGATCTCGCTCTCCTCCACTCTTTCCCCGTCGCCGACGGTTGGAACGCCTTCCTGGGCGCCATCCGAACCCGAACGTCCCTCCCGGTAGACATCCGCGAGATCGCCATCTGTCGCGTCGCGACGCTCAACGAGGCCTGGTTTGAGTGGAAACACCATGCGCCCATCCTGGCAGAGTCGGGGTTTAGCGATGCGATGATGGAGATGGTGAAGAGCGCGACGACGCCGACGGACGCTGAGCTCACGGCGCTCTTTGACCGGAAACAGGCTGCGGTGTTTCGATATACAGAGGCGATGACGAAGACGGTGAAGGTGCCGGATGCGATTTTCGCAGAGATGAAGGAGCTGTTCAGCGAGAAGGAGATTGTGGAGATTACCGCTACTGCCGCGGCGTACAATTGTGTCAGTCGGTTCTTGGTTGCGCTGGATGTCGGAGAGATGAACAGATAGAATGAGGGCTCCGATTAATTGGCTGCAAATCCCAGACCGGTTGTACAGCGTTTGCTTTTGAATACACCCGATATCTAGTTTTCTAGGTCCTCGCTTGCGCAGATGAATTTAATCTGAAACCATTGCAGCACACATCCATCTACGCGCCTTTGCAGTTTGAAGCCTGCCAATCAGCCTTGCAGTGGTGATCGTGCCATGTCATTTGCCCGCTCCAACACAGATTTGTGGTCGAGGTCGTGGTCGTGGGCCACAAGGAACGACCGGACGACACAAGCCATCCTGATACGCGGTTCGGGGGAAACTTGGATTCTGGCTTTCGACTTCTAAGATTGAGGTGGAGAGGAACATATTTATACCCGGAGTCAACATGCTCCCTTCCATTCCGCGGAGGGTTGTACATTGCTGGACCATCATAGACGCTTGCATCTAGCGCTGCCGTTCACGCTGGATTGTCTGACTGGGGATCAGCTTCTCGGGTTTGCAGCAGCAGTCCCTATAGAGTGAGCATGCTACAGCAACCTCGCCATCCAGCCAGTAAACATGGTGGGTCAGGATCATCTCACTTTGCAGTCAAGGGAACTGACCTGCCCAACCAATATGGCAAGGCTGAGAGAAGTCGGGAGGTCCTTGGGTGCATGGAGGCAGCGAGGCCGTTTGGGCTGCTCTTTTTAGATGTGATCCTACATTGATAGGGCTGAGAGCGCCTCTGCAGCATTTATGATCGTGAGACTCAAAATTTAGACACCCATCGCACAAGACCCATGGCAGTGCGCAACCGAAGACCTCCCGAAATACTTCAAGGTGGTCTTTGACCATAGCAGAGACCTGCACAGGATACTGGAAGATCTTAGTAATCCGGTTTGCTGGCAAATCACCTAGAGGGCCAGCCAAAAAGCCTGGTGACGAGATAATCTTGCATGAGAGGCACCCACCGAAATGTATATCGATTGGTTCTCCCGGAGTCATCTGTGAAATCGACGAAGATACCATTGTAGAACATCCAGAGGTTATTCCGAATAATGATCCATACAATCAGATGTACCGCGATATGATCATTAACGAAAGACTGATTGATCTATGGGCGCCTAAAAGGATTATTTCATACTTAGGCCAATCAACCGGTGCAATAAGGCTGGCATATGCAATGGAAGGAGATCTAAAGTGCTATTCAAAGCCATGACAAGCCGTCTTGGATTCAATTGCTAGTGGAGACCTTGTATTTATATCTATATTAATCAAGATGTAAGCCCAACAATATACTTGTTGAGAGGGATCTGAGAGGGAGGATAATTCTGATGTTACACTCGTCCTCTCGGCTTAGTAAATTATCTCGAAACACAGCGCTATACCCGTCTGAGAGCCCGGAGCGGTGATTAGCTGGTTAGTTAGCTGTTAGTGATGACAACAATCCGATTATGATTTATCTAGTTCTGCAAAAAAGACATTGGCAAGCATCATGGCTCGGTTTCGCTAAATTCCCTTTTCCTCCCTCAATGAATGCAGCACAATGGCCGTCAATGTGTTATTGTCGCTCGCTTGTTTCTGACTCCGTCGCCCTGCAAAACTCTTTTTTCGCTCCCTTTGACCCTACCGAGTTCTTGCCACCCTCCTCTATTAACTAGATCCCCCAAAACCTTGATGATTTGAGCCGTATACTTCCTCTCACAGACTGCTCCTACATCTGCCCTGCTGCGCTATTGCCCTTGGTTATTCTTGCGCCTTGATATCGAGTGCCAGAGCACCGACTGGCTCCTATTCTTCTTGTTTGATCCATCTATCTTCGCCGTCCAACAAATTCGACGAATTCTTAACTACCAGCACAACAAATTCCGACGGTCGATCATTGCTGTCGCTGGCCATTTCTACTCTAGACAGATACCTAGTTCCAAGGTACGATTCATATCTTTCAAACTTTTCATACTTTTGATCGAAACTCTTCCCCGTTTAGACCATTATCCCCCTGCGGCTGAGATCTATGCCATTTGAGCTTGTCATTTTTGGTTTTCTATACCCGAAATCCCCAGCCTTCCCTGCAATCCATCTTGTCGTCTTTGCTTCTTCTGATTGTGTTTGTCGCTGTTCCAAACGGCCAAGCATTGAGTCTGGTTGATCTCCTTTGTTATTTTTTCATACAAAGTTCTCTTCTCGGGCCTACTTCTACGCCAGCCGATTGAAACCCATCAATACATACCGGCTGCTAACCAGCGCCACAGAACCATTTATGATATAACCTCCCATCATGTCGCATCAGGCGCAAGAAGATGGCGAGGTGGGTGGCAGCAGTGCTGATATACCAGCAACTCCTTCATCCAATTACCAGCAACCCGACTCTGATGAATCCTCTCGCCCACCTTCATCTTCTTCGCAATTCAGCCCGCTTAACACGCACCCAGGAATCAAGTGCGTGTGGTGCTCAAAAGAATTTAATTCGACCTTCGAAATGCTACCTGCCGAAGCCCTCAAGCTGCATATGAAGAGCGCGCACCCAAATGTCACTGCTGATTCTAGACATATCGCCAGCGAAGGCACTTCTGTTGCGGAAAAGCTGCTTCAGGAGACCAAACAGGCGCGCCAACCAGCGCAGACCGGTGGTCGTCAGATCGCTACCGGGGTCGAGGAGCGCATTGCACTTGGTTGGAAGTTTCATGACGTGCGAGACTTTACAAAGGACTACTCCGGAGAAAAGGATGAACTTGAATCCATGTGGAAACGGCTATTTGATGGGTTTGACCGACCAAAGCCGTATGAAGCAGAGGAGGCTGAGCATGGAAGCTTCCTATCCATCACCGACCCCGAGATATACGTCGATCTTCTCAAAAACCCCGATTCCCATTCCACAGAAGAGCTTTACGCCATCACTGCAAATGCAGCGAAAGCTCTTGAAGTTTGGCAGGATGAATATATGGCTGTTGATGAATTATCCAGATGGGCAACTCGCAGAGTGCTCAAAAAGACCGTAGATCCGAGGAAGACGGAAAGCTTTCAGGTCTTTGAAGACAAAAAAGAGGCTAAACTGTACGGATACAAATATGATTCTCGACCTAGCAAGGTTGGCAATCAAAACCCGTTTCTCCAAGGTGGTTTCAAGCCTACCACGGATCAAATGAAAAAGATGACAGCGGCTGCCACCGACCCGTATAATGTTGATGGCTGGACACCGATTGTCAAAGATGGCGTGGAGTATGTACCGAGAATAAGGCCACCGCCGCCACCAGAGGCTAAACGAAAGGTCGAGACGACCACGACCTCCGGAGAAGCCACCAATGGACGACACGGCGGCAAAAGGGTCACACGCTACGGTGGCTCTAGATATCCAACTACAAGGGAGGGATCTCAGGCATTGACAGAAAGGTCAAGCCCAACTCCATCCATTGGCACTCGTACCCAGTCGCCGGAAGCATCAGCAACGCCAAACTCCTTATATGCTGGACGGTCGAAAAGAAGGACCCGATCCGGAAAGATATCGAACTCCGCGGGTCCAACTATTGCGAAGACGACACGCTCCAGGGTAACCAAGCCTTCTGCTCTTGGTCCCAACCGTTCTCGCGCTGCACCTACCAGTGTTCCTCCAACTGGGGCCACGACAACTGTAACGACTCCTACTTCTACGCCTGGGCCTGCGCCAACATACGAAGATCCCCTGCTTGATCCCAAGAACCTAGAGAAGATCAGGCAATCGAAGCATCCGAAGAGAACAGAAGCGATGATCCGTCACTGGGCCAAATTCAACTCCGAAGGTCGAACTCGAAACCCGAAAAGGACAAAAGCGCAGATTGAAGCGGACAAGGCAGCCCAAGCTGCAGCTGATGCTGCGCAGAAAGCCTCGTCGGGAAGGAAACGCAAGCTCGAGACCGAGAGCGAGCCGGCGAACACGACGGCTTCAACACCCATCCCAAAGAAAACGAAACGGGCGGTGGCAAAGCCCAGAGCAGTGTCTGAAGCCAATTCACCAGTCCCTATGCCTGCGATGCAAGCTCCAAGCACTATGGTTCCACCAACCTCTGTAACCCCGGCGACCGGGACTCTGGGCAACCCTACGTATCCAGCATCGATGCAGAATGGGCAATAGAGCTTTTTTTTTCTTCTGCGATACAATCACTTTTCCCCCTTTGTGATGGTTTCTTGTTTTTTCCATGCAGCTGGATTTGCATATGCTTTCAGATTTCACGAGATGATCTGGGTGCTTTCAGGTTACTGGGCCCTGTCCCCTTCTTGTTATTGTTATTGGTTTGTTTTAGCGGGCGCATTGGGTTTATTGATATCGTTGCTGGAGAAGCTAGCTTTGCTCTTCTTGTTTTCGAATTATCTTTAAGCAACAGATGGGATGCATACAGGCAGAGCACATTGGGAGCCTGGTGAATGATAAATGTGGATTGATTGATAGCGACATTGGGGAACATGAGGAGGATACCTGCAGCGCTATGATCCAGGAAAACCGAGTGTACAATATTCAATGACATTTTTGCTTTTGATATATTATGTGACTTCTAGTTTGTGAAAACGGCTCTTTCTTTTCTGCTTGCTTGGGAATCACGTGAGGGCCCTTTTTCAACTGAACATCAAATCGACTGTGCCAGCAACGGTCAACCCATCCCTCTGCGCAAAGCAAGCAGCCTTGCAGGAACGAAAAAGCATCGCTTCCAAGCACCACGCTGCTTTCACTGTGCTTCTGGGACGTCCGGCTCCTTCATCATGGGAAAGAAAAAGCGCGGCCATCCCGACCTTGAGGAAGTCCTCAGTCGGCCCTGGTGCTACTACTGCGAACGCGACTTTGACGATCTCAAGATCCTCATCTCGCATCAGAAAGCAAAACATTTCAAATGCGATCGCTGTGGAAGGAGGTTAAATACTGCTGGTGGTAAGTGGTTATGCCTTTTTTGTCCCACGCCATAGGCACAGAGATGAGAAAAACAGCTTGGTCTGATTTCGTCTGACTGTTCACTTCTTTTTCAACAATACAGGTTTATCCGTTCACATGAGCCAAGTCCACAAGGAACAACTGTCGGCCGTTGACAATGCGCTGCCTAACCGGTCAAGTTTGGATATTGAGATTTTTGGAATGGAAGGCGTCCCGGAGGATGTCCTGCAGGCTCATAATCAGCGAGTCATCACTCAGTACCATCAGGCTGAGGCGGAACGACGTGCGGTGACCGGGAACCCTGCTCCGGGAATGCCATCTGGCGCTCAAACGAAAAAGCCAAAGCTCGAAAGTGCGTCGGATCTGAAGAAGCGGTTGGCTGAGCATAAAGCGAAGTTGGCGGAGAAGGCGGCGGGGACTAGTAGCGGGGGTGCCACGCCTGTGAGTACTGATCAGGGCTTGCATGCCGGAAGTTCATATGTAAGTCATCGATGGAATGATCTGTTCGCCTGCTTTGTTTCTCATTTGTTTGCTTTACTCAACAGGCAACTCCGCAATATCCGACCCCCACGAACGGCTCTGCTCAGCAGTACCCTTACCCGCAACAGTTTGGGCAGCCTGCTGCTTATCAACAACCGCCACAAACATATCAGAAACAGCCAGAATATCCGTCTCCTGGATACCAGCAGCTTCCGATCATCGGACAGCAGTACCCCGCCCAGTATTCATCGCCCGCCATGTCCCCGTCACAGTACCAGCCCGCACTTGCCCCGCAAAACCCTGTCGTTTCCACCACTCCTCCTTTGCCCTTCCAACAACAGCCGCCACACATGGGAGCCCATACACCTCCACAAGCAGCAATCTCAATGCCCCCTCGACCACCAAGTCTCCCTGCCGCTCCTGGTCTCCCTCAGAGACCAAGCTTCTCCCCACCGCAAGTTAATTCATGGCAATTGCAGCAGATGCACCATGGACAAATGCCCATTCCGCCACCCCATGCGCCTCAAGTTCCAGGCACTGAAGCCGGAGTGGAAAACGCCGCGACCGCAGCTGATCGGTTGATATCTGAGGAGTCCAAGCGGGCCGACGAGCTAGCTCAGAAGCCTACCCCGACACCGGCACCGGAAGAGGCACCGGAAGGGAAGCCTGCCAAAAAGGAAAAAGCGAAAGCTTCGAGATTGGTGTATTCTGACAGTGCAGTCAGCCCAGAGGAAAAGATGGCGAAATTGCCTAGGTACGCATTTGTTCCCGAACGCAGAGAAGAGACAGTGCTTCGAGATGCAACTACTGGCGCAGTTGCGAGACCCGTTGATGCGTCGGATGAAATTGTAAATCCTCCAGAGTAGAGGAGGATGCATGGAATTATCGATCACCTTGACCCCGCCTGCATCCATTTCTCCTCCTACTTCCTATCCATGTCGGTTTCTTGCGCAGGTGTAATTTTTTGGGGGAAAGATAATCTCAGCGTGCCAGCTAAGTCCTTCGACTTAAAATTCTACACTATCTCTCTTCCTAGAGCCAAGGTTGATCAGCAGAAAACTTTTTGCGGTGCGCAGGTGTATGTCCGCCGCAGACCATCAAGCCAGCCACTTCTCACGCTTCTCTCGCGGAATTGCGTGGTACAATCGGATGCAACGGCAAGAAAAGGCGAACGCAACACCTAGCCGTATCTTACCAGGGCGCGAGAATTGCACTTTTTTTTTTCGTGGGTACATTGCTGTCCGGTATTGTTGTTTTGTCGCCATGGCACCCAGTCGACATTCTCGGGACAAATTGACCTCGCTGACACGGCAAATTGATTATTAGAAGGCACCCAGGGAGACCTGCAACCAAGAATGAGGCGTGATATAACTGCATCTTGTTTCTCATGTAAGTTTCCTGGCTTTTCGGCGTAGAAGAGCGTATTTTCCAAGTGAAGTAGCCATGGTTGGTCCTTTTCCGATTTCTTCCCAGTTCTCCTCAGGCCCCTTTGTGTAGCAGTGTATCTATCTAGGCTTTCGTCTCTTATTTTTTTTTCATCTTGATCATGATCTTCTGGAGTAGTTACGTTGATGATCCTGTAAGAGTAAGGTTCTTTAGATATGGAATGACTACTCCGTTCAGCATAATATATACCCCATCATAGTGCCCAAAACTCCCTAGAATTCGAGTGTTCAATGACCAACAAGAATATATTTACTCTGTCCGCTACCGCTTGGTCGAAAACCGCGTCATTGGTACATTTGTCAACTGGGTTACATCAACTGGCGGATGAGCTCAGCAACAATGGAGCTCACTAGCTAACTAGTTGACGACGAAAGGGCGTGCGGGTGACGATCCGTAACCGATGACTGGGAGACCAGAACTGCTTTGCCCAGGCCGGATTGACAGCCGCCGACCTCCTCTCTCTCGCACCATCATTGCTCCCCAGACCCCATGCCCGCATCTCCTCGTCTCCCATGAAGGATGAAGGAGCAAGCAAGTGACGCAATGCCCAGCTCTGAGACCACACCACTCCTGTTCGTCCAGGTATCGCGTCCGCCTCCACGATATCCGCACTCACGGCTCCGGCGAACCTGTACCTTTTGCCTCGGATCCATCCTCGTCGTTGGCGTCGTCCTCTTCCTCCTCCCGTTTGCTCTCCTCCCGCGTGAACACGGTTCGCTATGGGATTATCTCCCCGGCGCCCACCCGCTGCCTCACAAGGATTGGCCTGGGAGCCAAGGCCTGTCGTACAAGGCACTGCAGGAAATATTGCAGACTGTTCCTAACGAAAAGAAGATCAGGGAATGGGCCCAGTATTACACCTCCGGGCCGCACCTGGCGGGGAAGAACTTCAGCCAGGCGCTGTGGACAAAGGAACGGTGGGAAGAGCTTGGGGTTCCCAAAACGAGCCTGGTCTCGTATGATGTGTACCTCAATTACCCGATCGACCACAGGCTGGCGCTGATTGAGAAGCATGGAGAGGATGTCAAGGTCAAGTTTGAAGCGACGCTAAAGGAGGATGTGTTGGATGAGGATGCCACCAGCGGCTTGGAGAATCGTATTCCTACATTCCACGGCTACTCCGCCAGCGGGAATGTCACGGCACAATATGTTTACGTTAATTTTGGGACATTCTCCGATTTCGAAAATCTTGTCCAGGCCAATGTTAGCTTGGAAGGGAAAATCGCACTGGCTAAATACGGGCGTGGTTTCCGCGGGCTCAAGGTCAAACGGGCGCAAGAATTGGGCATGGTTGGTGTGGTCATTTACACGGATCCGCAGGAAGATGGGGAGGTTACAGAGCTGAACGGATACAAAGCCTATCCCGACGGTCCTGCTCGAAACCCAAGTTCGGTGCAAAGAGGCAGTGTCCAGTTTTTGAGTATGCGCGCACCTTTCGATTCTGCCTTGATACAGCTCCGTTTGTGCTAACCCTCTTTCGTAGGCCAGGCCCCCGGTGACCCGACTACTCCTGGCTACCCTTCTAAGCCCGGTTGTCCTCGTATGGACCCGCATGACTACATCCCCTCAATACCATCGCTCCCACTTTCGTATGCAGAAGCTATTCCCCTCCTCAAGGCCTTGAACGGACATGGGCCAAACGCCAAGGACTTCAATGAGTACTGGCAAGGCGGTGGTCTTTCGCATAAAGGAGTGGACTACAATATTGGTCCCTCCCCCGAGCACCTTGTCCTAAACCTGAACAATGAGCAGGAATATGTAACAACGCCCTTATGGAACGTCATTGGTGTTATCGAGGGCTCTATCCCCGACGAAGTCATTATCATGGGAAACCATCGTGACGCGTGGGTCGCAGGTGGCGCAGGAGATCCAAACGGCGGGTCCGCGGCTCTCAATGAAGTGATCCGGAGTTTTGGGGAAGCTCTAAAAGCAGGCTGGAAGCCTTTACGAACCATCGTTTTTGCCAGCTGGGACGGCGAAGAATATGGCCTGATTGGATCTACAGAATGGGTCGAAGAGAATCTACCCTGGCTTTCGAGGGCGAATGTTGTATATTTGAATCTTGATGTTGCAGCCACCGGGCCGCACTTCAAGTCTAGCGCGAGTCCTCTTTTGCACAAAACAATCTTGGAGGCCACGGGACTCGTCTTGTCTCCTAATCAGACGATCAAGGGCCAGACTGTTCGTGATCTTTGGGACAAGAACATTACCCCCATGGGCAGCGGTAGCGATTTCACCGCCTTTCAAGATTTTGCTGGCGTTGCAAGTAGTGACATGGCATTCGACGGCAGAGGCCAGGATCCGGTCTATCATTATCATTCTAATTACGATAGCTTCGACTGGATGGACCGTTTTGGAGATCCGGGATGGCACTACCACGTCGCCATGACCAAAGTATGGTCTTTGATGGCAGCTTCTCTTTCAGAAACCCCCGTTCTCGCCCTCAACGCCACAGACTATGCCCTTAACTTGCACAAATATCTCGATTCCGTCAAGCAAAAAGCTGCCAAATCGACAACCCCGCCTTTCAACTTCCGCCCTCTCGAGGATGCCATGGCCCATTTCCGCCAGGCCGCCATCAAGTTCGACGCCTATGCTGCGTCGCTTGCCGCCAAGTTGGAAGAAGACGTCCCGTGGTGGCAGTACTGGAAGAAAGTCATCCTGTATTTCAAGATTCGCGGTGCGAACGACAAGTATAAATTGATCGAGCGGAAGTTCTTGCATGCGGACGGTCTGGACGGCCGGAGCTGGTTTAAACATGTCGTTTTCGCGCCGGGACGATGGACCGGATACTCCGGGGCGACATTCCCCGGCCTAGTGGAGAGCTTTGAGGATAATGATGTCAATAACGCTGAGGTACGATGTTTCCTCTGCCCCCCTTCCTACCTTGCCCATAAGATTTATTTTACTAACAGAATGTTCCTGTGTGGTTTAGAAATGGAGAGATATCATCGCTGGCAAGATTGATGATGCAACTCGTCTGTTGAATGATAATTTATTTAGCAACGTGCAGTTATTGTTTTCCACGGCGTTATTCGTGTCGTCTGATTCAAAATTCAAAAATTTTTTGGGTTGGTTCTACTATGGAATCTAGGTAGAAGGCAGAACTTTGGCTAGAGCTGATATATTACGGGTTTCCTCAGGGTTAAAGTATTCAACATTTTTGGTGCAAGTCTCTATTTTATTGGACATCTCTGATTTGTTGTGAATCTAGTATGATACATGGGTATCCACGAAAGAGTCAAAATTGATAAAGAAAATGCAATTCAAATATGCCCGCATCGTTCCAGTAATTTTAGCTCATCAAAGTTTCAGGTCATCATTCATTTCCATCTGAACGGGCATGGTTGCATATAAACTTTTTGATATATTTATAATAGCTCTGCACGGATTCTTTCGGGTCTGCGTTAGCTGATCCTTTAGTGTGGCCGGGGGTTTGGGGGCGGATTATCAATCGATAAAAAATCCTTAAGCCTGGCGTTTTCCGTGGCATCTGAACTCGGATCTTCCAGGGCGTTCACTTGTTCCACGATCAAATCATCTGTCCTATCGGAAAGATAGCCTGTCTGCTGCTCTGTAGCTAAATCATCGTCATTATCGTCATCATCATCATCATCGTCTGGAGTGGCGCCTGCAAAACCATCGGTCTCTACGACCCAGAAAACAGGCACAGCGCTCAATAAGGATATGATTGCCAGTGCCCACCATGGAAAAATCATGTATCCCATCTTAACACCAATAGAAAAGATGGCGCCAATGCACGCAGGGCCTATTGCTCTCCCAATCGCGGCCGCACTTGTTGCCACGCCATTTAGGGTCCCCAGGACCTGGACGCTAGGCGCAGAGTTGGTGAGTAGTATAGTGGTGCACGGAAATGCAAAAACTACACATCCAAGTTTACCGCACAAAAGTATAAATGCAGCAATTTGGCGCGATGCGTCCGTCGGAAACAGTGCGGTAAATGGTATCAGGGCATATACAATCGGGAATCCTAGAGAAACTACCTTAAGACAGTTAAGGACTCCATAGCGATTTGCCGTGTATGGAAAGACGAAGAACTGAATTAACATGCCAAGGATTCCGTTGAGAGTGTATAGAATTCCAATAGCTTGAGAATCTGGGAATTTGAAGCCATTAGTGACTGGTAAGGGATACACGCTGTCAACGAGCATGGATGGGCCAAGAAACTACTCACCTATTCCAAACCCGCTAGAGAACTTGAATGGTAAGTTCATATTACCTCCTGATTCTTCAACGGGATAATTAAGGAAAACGGGAAATACGGAATCAAACGCCAAGCTATGCAAGCCCAGAAGGGCATTCGAAAGGAGAATAAGCTGAGACTGTGGCGACAAAATTTCTGCCCATGAAAGGTCTCGGGATTGAATTTCATGCTTCTTGTTCTTCTTTCTGCCCGAAGGAAAGGCTGTATCTCCGTTGAGAAGCGGTGTCCTCTCGTCGTCAGTAGCTAATGATTGTTTTGTGTTTTTTCGTCGGCCACGGCATGCGCTTACCAACGCATCACCAAGCAACAGACCATAGTCACGTTTATGTTTCTTCGACTCTAATGTTTCCTGCAACCTTGCTAGTAAGTAACACGTCACCCCGTGATCAACGAGGGGGAAAAGAGAGCTTACTCGAAGAAACAAAAATCCAGTCACAATTCCGACAATAAAAAAGATGGATGCGACCATATTCGGTAAAGCAAATGGGTACTTCTTGAAGAACTCGCTGCGACCGAAAAGATCAGGATGCTTTTTCGCAGGATTCGCCAGCGCGCCACCAAAGGCAGGGCCAAATATACTTCCGACTGTCCAGACAAGGGGCATCAAACTAAAGGCAAGGGGCTGAAGCTCCTTCTCGGGGACCAATTCTGCCACGATGGTTCTAGTAATACCCACATTGCCGTTCCCCAGACCAATACATGCGCGCGCAAGTATTACCATTGCCAAAGACTTCGAGAGACCGAAGATAATGCTAAAGGTCATTGTAATACAAAGACCCGTTAATATAATGGGCTTGCGGCCTATTCGATCTGATAATTTGCCCCATGGGACTGCGGTAAGGCATTGGCATATCGAAAATATGGCGGAGGTCAATCCAACCCATTTAGAAACATCTTTCTTGGGTACATCGAGACTGTGAATCATTTCAGGCTAGAGACAATAAAAGGCTCAATGTTAGAAATACCATGCTTAATGATAACCGAGGCTCAAACGGTGACACGATGTATATGTAACCGCTGAGAAAGAAATGGAAGTGCCGCCTACAAGGTATGGAAAGACAGATGTGAAGACAACTGGAGGCCGAAAAATTTCTCAGTATTCTTTATCCTATCATCAAAACAGCAACATGGGAAGTTGGACGGGCAGTTGGAAATACCGGGCTCAGCAAGTCGGCAAATTGCTAATGTGAGTGAGAGTAGTTAGTCAAGCGTTGATTTTCAAGGTCCATAGCGCAGAGCTGGGAAAGCTTCATGCACTGAAAGCGTACTGACATAGTATCACAAACTGCTGCACTGGCAGCTTTGGAGTGCGTTTGGTCATAGCGCCAGAGTAAACTTGAGAGAACCGCTACAGTTCTGCTCGGTTATCGGTAATATTATGCCGAAGTAGATATCTAGGCAGTCGCGAAACACTTGAAATCATTTGAGGGAGGATATATCGGTGGATCAGCCACTGTGAACAGACTGATACGCATCGATCTCACGCGCTTTGAGAACAGAATCACGAACTGGGAGGAAGAGAAGTTGAGAATCGCGAGAGGAGGAGAAGCAACGCCAAGACCAAATCGGCAAGACCGCGCCCTGCTGACTAATACTCGGCGTGGAAGCTAAAAGCTTAAAAAGTGGATAACTCCGAGCGGGTCGTGCCTTCTGTTTCCGACAAGATAAACAAACGACCGAAAACGGCAGCAACAACCTCGAATCACTTATCCAGGAAGGAGCTCGAGGCACGAGAATTGCCCCGTATCGCATCATTGCAATCCAGTCCAGCATTGTCGTGAATCAACTCAACTCTCAAAACCTGTCGCTTCTTGAAGCAGAGCTGGCGTGGGGAGTGACGCGGAAGCAACAAAAGCTTGTCCAAGCGCTGCTTCTGATTGACCAGTCTTGAAACGGCCTGCATAGCCTTCGCACAGACTGAACGTTGGCACACCCACTCGGGATCCAGATGCCGGTTAGGTGCGACAGTTTTCATCGGCGAAAGTTGAGTTGCCGAGACCAGCGATTTCCGCATGCATGGAACCAAGCCAAACGGGTTCATTGGATGTCATGTTCACCAAAATATCGCCCACTCGAGACACAAATAGCAAGTTACCTCATTGAACAAAAGCTTGAACACGAGAGAAGAACGGGCCCTCGAGGCAAAACGGCCAAGTGAGCGCAGACGCAGGAATAACCCGATTTTTTTTGGTGGGATGTTCAGGCAAAAGATGTTAACTACAGCAGATAAGCACGTATATATAACGACGTCTTTCTGAACTTGGTTCGTCACCAGTATGATCTTATGACAAAGGTCGACGAAGGTGGAGATAAGCGTGCCGCTCCCGGTGGCAAGTCAAGCAGGCTTGTCATAATACACAAAAGGGGTATTCATAAAAGACATTGTTGGACTATCATGGTTATTCAAACCAAATTGGAGCCTGCCCCGATGTTACCATCCCGTCATTTCCGATGTCAAGTTGAAATTCTCGCACAACACGGTTCCATTCGTCCCAAGAAGGCGGCGCTGAGGTGATCGAGGCGTTTATATTTGAAACTCCTGTATCGTACATGCTATCCAGAGGTAAAGGGGGCCATGGCGAGAGTGTTGATAAGTCAATTGGGCTAGGATTATAACTTTCGACACCTGGACTGAAACCTGTTACAGGCCCTGGTGCAAGGTTGATTGCCGTGACCGGGGCTTGTTGCGGCTGGTGCAGATACGTGATTGATGCTAAAGGTTGAGAAAGCGAGGTGTCGTTAGAGGGCTGGAAACCATTAGTATATGGCTCATGCCCTCCAAACCCTGCACTGGATCGTTGCGACTGCATTTCGCGAAATTGAAGCGCTCGGGCCATAAGTTTACGTATTCCCCGCCAGAGCATATCCCCCTTCTGTTGGCCTTTTAATTCCAATCCTTTATATGCCGCGTTGACAGCGTTCCAGGCTCGCTCCACGACAGGGCATGGCTGCCGCACGCACAGATTTGATAGCACATAAGCAAGAGCATGCCATTGTGTATCAGTGCGGAATAGCCATCTCCATTGGGACGTATTAGCGTTGGTTTCCAGCAAAAGACCAAATTCAATCATTTCAATTGCAGAAAAGAAGAGCCGATTTTCTGTTTCCTCTGGAACGGAATTTTCCACATCTTCCCGTGTCATTGGGTGGTGGATCACGAGAAGTAATTTCGCTACAACTAGACGCGATAGTGCGCCGCAAACCCATTGAATTGGTATGCTCATATCGCAGTGCTGCACGTATTTATGCTCAAGCTGCCGGCTGAGATTTTCCACCATTTCCTCACGCTCCTTTTGGGAAATGGAGGCCACAAACCGTTTGCAAGAAGCGCTCGGTGGCACATTGGTAAATCGTCTTGATACGACAACGATGTCGGAACGAAACAAAAGGAAAGTCATATCTGTGTATCCCACTCGTTCCTCTGGAGGCTCCTTTGAATCTGGAGATATATCATCATCGTTAATGTTTAGTGGCGGACGAGTATCATAAGAATGTTCATGGACCATCGGATCACATCCGTGATCTAGAGAACAGCAAAAATCCAGGAGGCAAATTTGTAACCATAGTCGCCGCCGCAGTTCAGTCTCAAGTGGTGCTAAACCGAAGGTAGCTCCATCACGGTGGAGACCGATTCCTCGACCGATTTGAATGGCAATTGCTGTCATCGATAGGATATATCGAGAGTCGCTGCTTTGGCGTACACAAATCAAAAATAAAACAAGGCTTTGAAGGAGCACCAAACTATGGGTACTTAGTATATTGGCCTTAGCTAGCGCTTGCTCGACAGCGAATCGGTAACGGTTTAGGGCAGCATCACGATCTTCACCCAGTTGAGATAGACATTGCTCAGGTGTCATGCTTGTTATGACGGTATAGTACACTGTGAACAGCAATGCTTCAGTATTTTTGTTCACAGAGTCGAGATTCGCGACTGCATTCCATAGCATGTTTTTCAAACTCGGGCGATGAAATATAGGGACAATTGGAGCAACATTTTCAAGGTATGTCTCCCACACAATGCCGAATTTCTCCGGCGGTAGATGGAACTCGCGTAGGCTATGCGCTGCAGACCTAAAGCCGAACAAAAATCCATCATTACCCGTCCATGGCGAAGAGGCAGATGCGGAGTCACCCGGAGAGGGATAGTCGTCTTCATCTGACGTCGGGCAATCGATCATGTTCTTTAATTCCTCAATCTTCGATTTATTAGCTGGTAAAGAGCTACTATCAACATCAGCTCATGAAAGGAACGCCTACCTCATCCCCAAATCTCGTCCAAAACCGGTTGCTTATGTACCGGCTTTGGTCATCGCTGACGACGAGTCTGCCCATCTCATCATTTACAGAATCCAACTCGGCATTATTCGAAGACCGTTCCGCACAGCCATTGGCATTCAACCCACTCGAAGGTTTGGCCTCATCAGCAAAGTTGCCCTCGACAGCTTCTGGTTTTCCGATACTCTTGACGGCGGCTTCGAGGGTTTTCAGTCGTGCTAACAGTTCCGCTTCTGTCCCCTTCTTCGACTTTCGAGGCGCTCTACCAGGCTTGGGAAAGACGCATTCGACTCTTGCTTTGACACAGTTGGAGCAGGGCTGTACTTTATTGCATCGAATCTTCCGTCGACGACAGGTCACACAACTGCGAGGGTTGCTTCGAGGATCGGACATAGCTGTGCCGCCGGTCGCAACGGGAGAGCGGTCCTTGGGCGCATCACTGATTGTAGATGGCTGTGAGGGATCCGACGAAACGGGTGTTGATATGGCTTGCAGCCCAGAGTTAGTGAGGGAGGAGCGCATCGTGAAGCTCCCGTTTGGCTCCATTTTGCGCGCTCAGCAGCGTAGTAATCATGCAATCCACCGAAAGGGCTTTGTTGATGGCTGCTGCTTTTAGCACTGAGATATCTCTATCAAAGAAGGCGATCCGGCCAAATATGTGGAGTGGCAACACTCCATCTGACCCTGAGAGGATTTGCGTTGAGGTCATTTAGTTACTAATAACAAGCCTGGGAGATCGTCTTGGCAGGGATCAGGATTCGCGGTATTTGTGCAAACAATGAATGTCCGCCGGACATCAGGTAACCACAGCTGGTCTTCTACTCGCTGTTTTTATGACATTATTGCTATTCTTCAATGCTGGCATGAACTGAAGATCGCTAATAACTAACTGGCACAGCACACGAAAACAAACTGACAACCGGAGAATCTTCAGAGACCAGACGCTGACCTCCTCGGCGTCCGGCCTTTTTACGGTTGCGCTTTGGTCAGAAATGGCAAGATGGGCAACGACAAAACGAGCTGGAAGAATCTCAAGGGCAGTGGGACGAGCGAGTGTGTGATACCTCACCTAGCTCTGTTACTCAACCCCACATGACAACAGTCATTGTCAAAGGTGATCGGCATGAAAGAGTGAAGGCAGCCCGAAGGAGTGTACACAGTCTCGGCAATGATATACCAGTGCTACTCAGCGCCATCCAAACACAGATCAATCATGCAAGTTCAGCGATCTGAGATAGAGAGGCAGAACAGCGGCCGGGGGCATCAGAAAACACCAGTTTTATTTTCCAGCATTGCCCAGGGAATCGCTGTCAGCCCTGACTGGTAGCTTGTTGTTTGGCGTGATGTGGCCAGATAGTCCTGAGATGCGGCAAATGAAGCACAAGCATCGAAATGCTCGGTTGATCAAAGGGAGCGCCCAGGGCATGGTTGACTCTTCTGCATCGCCAAGCATAGCTTCTGCCTGGGCGTTTATTATTAACATCTGGATATGGTGGTATTTGATGGTTGTGACACTCACCTGACCTGTTTATAACACTTCGCACGGAGGATCAAAGGCCCAAGCCGCGATTCTGCAAGAGCCAACTGTCATAGCTGGCGCTTTGCTTGTTACCCAGACTAAATCCACCGGATTTGGACAAACCAATGGTAGTATGATTGAGACAGTAGGGAATCTCTCTTGGATTCCCGATCCTAGCTTTGGGTAAGCCTAATTCCAGGCTTGTCCTGTCGGCCGCGTTTCCCATAAATATCCATTGCCGCCGCCCCCTAATCAGGCAATCTCAAAATATCATATACCGCAACTGGCAAAATGCTGTCAATCGCATTATTTCTTCCGATTGCTCAGTTTTTTTGCGGACTTGAAGCAGCTGTGACTTCGGCAAATGGTTTCAAGCTCGCGGAGCGGCTCCCCGTTATTCCTGATGGATGGACCAAAGGGCCGAGCGCAGACCCAGCGACAATCGTTTACCTCAAGGTATCAGTCCGTGCCGAGGATCCCAATTGGCTCTATCGCACTCTCCTTGAAATATCGACACCTGGCCATCCTCGTTATGGTCAACATATGAAACGGGATGAAGTACAGGCTATGGTCGCACCTGACCCTGATGCTTCGGACAGCATTCTGGCCTGGCTTCGAGAAGGAGGGGTGAAGCCGGAGCAAATCCAAAACAGAGGGGATTGGATCGACTTTTCTACTACGGTTGACAAGGCCGAGCGGTTGCTGAACACGAGCTTTTATTGTTTCGAAGACGAGGCTGGAAAGACCCGCAAAATCCGAGCCCTGGAATACTCGCTGCCATCTAACATATCTCGACATGTGCGAACTGTTCAGCCGATCACGTATTTCGGTAGCCCAAGACCTCACGTTAGCCATATTCTGAAAGCTATACCGCCAATGAGGTTCCAGCTCAACGATGCGGCTGGCAGAGCCAACACGCCAGCGTCTCTCCGACAACTCTATAACATGCAGCACTTTCAGGTCGAGAAGAATAGCAGTAACCTGGTTGGTGTCTCGGGCTATCTCAATCAATATGCTCGGTATAGTGATCTGAACTTGTTCATCAAGCGTTATGCTCCCCAGGCTGTAGGCGCCACTTTCTCGGTGGAGCTTATTAACGGCGGGAAGAACGATCAAGACTCCAAATTAGAATCGTTGGAAGCAAGCCTTGATATTCAATACGCCATTAGTCTCACCTATAACACAAGTGTAACCTATTATTCAACCGGTGGCCTCGGTCCGCTAGTTCCGGATATTGAGCAGCCAGACGCCGCGCACAATCAGAACGAGCCGTATTCGGAGCAATTGAAGTACTTTGCGGGTCTTGCAGATGACAAGATCCCCACAGTCCTGTCAACCTCGTACGGTGAAAATGAACAGAGCGTGCCCAAGGAATTTGCAAAATCCGTTTGCGACGAATTTGCGAAGCTAGGTGCCCGCGGAGTGTCGGTCATTTTCAGCAGTGGCGATAGTGGTGTGGGGAATGGGTGTCAAACTAATGACGGACAGAAACGGCCGCGCTTCAATCCGATCTTTCCTGCTTCGTGTCCATTTGTCACATCCGTTGGCGGAACTGAAAATGAGAACCCAGAACGTGCAGTCGGCTTCTCATCCGGCGGATTCTCCGACATTTTTGACCGCCCTTCATACCAAAAACAAGCGATCAGCACGTTTCTGACGCGGTTGGGCGACAAATTCTCTCAATATTTCAACAAAAACGGGCGCGGCTTTCCCGACGTAGCTGCTCAAGCGGTCAACTACTCTGTATACGACCATGGGCAAATAATACCCGTGGCTGGAACCAGGTAAGTAGTTACCATACTCTGGTCAGCTTCACGTATGTCAAAGGTATATTGATATAGTTTTTATGCTTAGTGCCTCAGCGCCAACCATCGCTGCGGTCATTTCCAACTTGAATGAACTTCGCATATCTCAAGGGAAGACGGTGCTTGGCTTCCTCAACCCTTGGCTGTACAGTCAGGGCTACCGGGGATTCACTGACATCGTCGATGGTGCAGGCACAGGCTGTTTCGGCAAGAATGGAGGGCCGCGCATTCCTGGGGCAGCCTGGGACGCCGTCAAGGGATGGGACCCAGTGACTGGATTTGGCACACCTGATTTTGGGAAATTGATAGACTTGCTTCCGTAATAGTGTAGATTATTTGTAGAGTCTAGACACGATATTAGATCGCAGTTATTTTCTTGGATAGCTACCCAAGTCATGGGCTCCGCCGTTCAACCCGTAATCTGAAGTAGGAACGAGGTTGTATCAATGAACTTGTAGCTACGAGCTTGCCGGGTTAGCGCCCATCGTCCTTTTAATAGCTTTTCGGGTTTGGTGCCGAGACCCATTTCACCAGCCACAACGACCCATCGTGCTCCCGGCGCCTCAGATGGGTCTTGGCTGACATCTGGTGCTCATCTCATGCATCAGCCATGGCTTTTTCTTTTGCCCTGCAAGTCACTCCAGGATTCAGGGATCAGGATGGATCATCGAGCATTCTCAGCGAAAAATATTGCGATCACCATGACATCCCTGAAGTAAAACTTGAAACCAGTCTCAGCAACACCTCATTGTTTTCAATCCTTGGGCGAGGTTGTTTCCTGCCATGAGCTGTGAAGGCGAGCATAAAAGAAGTTTCAGCTCTCGCTTCCGGGCCGGAAAGTCCTCCAGAGACCGTTAGATTGACTGTGACGTGCTCCGTGATCCGGGGTTGCCCAAGATCCATGATTTCTAGAGGTTGAGCAATGATGCAAGAATCGATGAGATCTTTGGGGCACCCCAACCCTCCAGGCCAGCAAGGAAAGCGATCGCGTGCTGGCAATCCCATCACGGACTCCGTATTGCTGCCAGCCTTGTCTGCTCTCAGCCCAGTCTCCCAAGAGCCCAGCTGTGACGCGTCGAGCGAGGGGTTGTCCTGGGCCGGCTCTTGGAAGGGCTTGGGAGCGGCACTGCTTATCAAATCACCAGCCACCAGCCACGCGACGTGGAGCTCTTTGGGGGAAATGCCAAGCGCCAACCCTGCGGCGCCATTCCTCTCTGGGCCTAGCGGTCTCCAGTCCCCCACCCAATGTGCATCTCCCTTCAACGCAAAAACGTCCTCAAACAAATCAGGATGCAAGGAGAAACCGATGGGGACTCAGATAGCCGCTGGCCCCGGGCGCGAAGACAGCCTCTGCTTGTCTTCATGCTCGTCTGTCGATCTGGCCTTTGAGTATATAATCTCCCTCAGCGGAAGCAATTCGTTTCTTGCATGTCCCTCTTTTCTGTTTTACTTTTGTTACGCGCCGACTTTCCTTGTTCCTTGACCTCCCAGCCAGAAGCCCGCTCCTGTACATACTGACTTGGCTACTCGAACGAATTTGTTGGTAGCATGCATCTCGCTGAATTATCGTTGCTGGGTTGAGAAAATTTCATAGTAAACTGCTTCTGGGGAAATGATAGCGGCTCTTCTCTTCGCATTATGGCTTCTGCTTGCTCGACCGATCCGCTGCGATGCCGATTTCATGAGTGTCCGCACGTTAATGAACACCGATTACAGCGGCAAAAGAGGCGATCCTGCTGAAAAATATTTTCGTAAGTCATCCCTCCCCACTGGGCGTCGGGACTTGAGATTCATGTGGCTGACATCCCATTCAGACGAATCAAAGTATGCTCTCCCCGCCTTACCACTCGTGTGCCCCCGTTTGCTACGCTTTGATACACATATTAACATGAAGCCCGTCATCTCAGCTTCCATTACCATTATGATGGCCGGTATGCCTCCCGTAGGAATTGCGATTGCTCACGGTCAATGCTGACGCGAATGCTAGATTTGCATCGAAGCCCATCCATGACTCGCAACGGATACCTCACCTGACCACCATGGTCAAGTCGTACCTTACCACCATGGCTGATATCGGAGCCGAAACTTGGATAATGCATGGAACGTTGCTGGGATGGTGGTGGAATCAAAAAGTTGGCCAGCCGCGCTTCACAGAAGACCATCTTGTACCGATATACTAACGAACTGCCGTGGACAGATCATGCCCTGGGACACGGATATCGATGTCCAGGTTTCTGAGACGACAATGTACTTTTTGGCAAAGTACTATAACATGACAGAGCATCGGTTCAACGTTCCCGGCAACCCGGCTGGCCGGACATTCCTTCTTGAAATTAACCCCCATTTCGTGAACCGAACGCCGGAAGATAAACTAAACGTGATCGATGCGCGATGGATTGATACGTCGTCCGGGTTGTTCATTGATATAACGAGCGTGCGAAAAGATTATGACGCGCGAAAAAGAGGCCAGCAAGGTGCTCTTATGTGCAAGGACAGGCACAGATACAATGTGGGCCTCAACACCAAGTTGACCTCTTGACTACCAGGCGAAATTTAACTGTGAAATAGGAACAAGATATATTCCCGTTACGAGACAGTCATTTTGAGGGAATACCAGTGAAGATTCCGTATGCCTATACGGTACTCCTGGAGAAGGAATATGGCAAAGGCTGCCTTTTCAAGACCGTTTTCAATGAGTGAGCCGCACGACTAGCCTGTGTCTAGGTTCACCACTAATATGGACAATAGCCACAAATTCAATGCAACAACCAAAATATGGGAGCCGATCCCGTAGGTTACGATTCTCCTTGAAATTTGAAGAACTCTGCTGACCGCTTATAAGGAAAAAACCGGACCCTCCCAAAAAATTGATAAAAAGCAGGATTGTTGGCAAACGGGATAACCAATGAGCCAGGTCGACAGTCGTGCTCCCAGCATTTTATCGATTTTGCGAATATCTCACCTCACCTTCTCGCCGATATTCGCCTTCCTAACCGTTTGATCGACTACTAACCTTTCGGTTTTCCAACCGCTGTCGATATCTGCCAACCCGCCGGTCCATGATTGATTAGAAGCGTAGTCGTCCCATATATATTTTAGCGTCTGATTTGGTGTTCCCACCTGAAAGTTTGGTCGCATTTGCTGGAGTTTCTAACATTTATTGCTTGCATTTTGAGCTGATTTTGCATCTATTTTTTTTTTTTTTCGTTGCTCTTTTTCCTTTCTAGCGGGTGTAAAATCATCTAGAGATGCACGCTGTTCGTACGATGGTTCAGGCGCAGGTTGCATGCATTTCCTAGCGTGGACACATCGAGAAATCTGAGAACCGTTTCCGTTGTCAACTCTTTTCAGTTCGCTTGTCACCAGATTTGGACTTTGCTCTGGCGTCACAGATCCAAGTCGCGCCAAGGCCAGTTTAATGATGCCCGTTCTGACTTGAAACTTCACTCTCGAAGAACTTGGCCACTTTCGCATGATATGCTAACTATCCAATTGGCAAGATCTATTATTAACCAGTCGAACCTTTTCTTTGAACAACCTCCCCCGTCTGCCCTTCGAATATAAAACGAGCAGTTAGGGCCGGGAATAGGGCTGGAATTGATTCTCGTCTCCATCGTTCTCGGTATTGGAGATTTCCACAAGTACCCCCGTTTTATCCAGATTATTTTGAAAAGGAAAGAAAATTTGATCCTAGATTTTCAACAAGAATCCTTTCCTTCAATTTTTGAAAATTGAAGTCGTGTTTAAGTTTTTTTCCAAGACGATGAATCCCACCTACCATGTTGTGAAAACTGCGGTCGAGACATTCATCGCCCAGCGAAGAGCGGGAAAGCCTGAGAGTGGAAAGTGTACGGAGTACGCCATATTGGCAATGTTTCTCTCAACAGATCTTCTTTGTTTCCGTCTAGCCTGGACATGTCAATGAGTCCCAAGAAGCTATAGCCTATGAGCCTTGTGTGATCTGTTACGAATTTCTCGGTAGGGGGCTTTTTACCGCCCGGGATAACTGAAAGGGATCTCGACTTCGCCAAAAAATTCCAGACACTGCAATGGAGAACGCGCTCTATCATCCAATTTGACGCTGGGAAGCCATCGTTCTGGTTGGAAAATGCTTGGCACCTGCAAGGCTCGGAGAATATTTCACCACGCGGGATGGCTTAAGGACCTTGGTGACGGTCAGCAAGTTGGACGGATGGGGAACAGTGGAAAACAAGATAGGCCCCAAAAAGACCTTGGTGAATTGTCTCCGGGCTCAGAAGCTGAACAGAGGCATTTTCTGCCATTCACAGTGAAAATTTTACAGCAAATTAGTGTTTTATCGGCTCGATCTTGCCGCTACTACCTTTAACCAGTGATGTGAAGGTCGAAACCAAACAAATCTGCAGCAGATGAGCAAGAGGTTTCTGGATGCGAGCACCTTGGTAGTTGCCAAGCCGCCATCAACTCTTCTCCTAGAAGCTATCGTATCCGAGGAGCTCTTGGAGGCCAATTGATCATGGCATGAGTTCAGACCAAGCCCTCCTCTGTCTGCCCTTCAGGTATATAAACCTCGAAACTCCCATTGGAGCGAGTGCCGATGTCCAGTACCTGCTCAACAGTCCAATTCGAGTCAGTTCCTGCTCCCATACTTCAATAATGAGAGCCTTCATACTCGCCTTGCTGGCCCTGGCCACTTCCCCTCTGGCCTTCGCGCAGGAAGACCCGGAACCGTCCCCGACTAACTCCGTTGGCTGCCACCCGCATGGGGATCATTGGTTAGTCTTTCGTCCTTCATCCAAAGTTCCACCGTTGACGTGCATTCAGGCATTGCGAAGGCCCTGCGGTTCCTCCCCCAGTCACATCCAGCCATCATGACGAGCATGAAGATCCAACGGTGGCCCCGACTATCCCAAGCCCTACCGATTCTGTCGGCTGTCATCCCCATGGCGATCACTGGTAGGTTCCCTTCCTTAACTCTTGAACTTGTTCTTTTAGCTCACGTCCCATCAAGGCACTGTGAAGGGCCAGCAACTCCCACCACAGCAGCGCCAGTCCCTCCTGCGATATCAAGCCAGCATGATGATGATGGGCACGCAACAGTGACTCCCACTGTTCCAAGCCCCACGGAATCTATCGGTTGTGAGCCCCATGGTGACCATTGGCATTGTGAAGGCCCTCACGAAACCGGCACGACTCCAGCCACGGAACCTACAAGCTCTGCTAGTGGGAGCCCAACACCGTCTCCACCAGCTGAGTTCGACGGGGCTGCTGGGACAGTGAGGCCAGAAGGACTTGCTTTCCTTGCGGTTGCGGTCGTTGCAGCGTACTATGTTTGAGAAGCTCAGGCCTCGTTCACCGCTTTATTGGTTCTCCATGGTTATGTTTTCTGATTCAGATACCTAGAAGATCAAAGTGTCACTAGCGGCGCTTACTTCATTTCATTGAAACGGCCATTTTGCCGCATTAGTTATACTTATCATGTATTATATATTTATATATCAATCAGATATCGATTCAACTTCCTCAAATCAGCCGCCCCTACCGACCATATTCCACTCTTCATCACGTTGCCCGATTGAACAGTATGGTTGAGGGTCACGCAAAGGACAGTTGCACTGGATGCCTCACCTGGGTTGCGTCCGTGTTTATATAGACGACTGATGCTCAGGAACCCCAAAAAGATCTTGTTGGAGTGCAATAAACTTCTGATACCAAGAACTGTTTGCACCTCCCCACCCTTCTAAATCCATTTTCAAAGCAGAAAAGAACCTATTTAACGACTTAATTCTTCGTATTCACCCCGGTCTGAAAGAAGAGAAATTTCATGTCAGCGTAGCACAACCCCCCGCAAGGATGTACGGGAGAGGGATCACCGGGAGCCCATGTGACAATATCAAGTTTGTGCGGCGGCCGCTGCGTTTCTCGTTCGCTCAACTTGATTTTCCTGTCTTAATGTGCGAGATTGGGGCCAGTCTTCGAGTGCAAAAATGATTTTATTCCGAACCAAAGCGGGCTGCACCGGACAGGGAAAAATCGCAGAGCCAGCCCGCCTGGAGCTCCAGCACTGCCCTCAATGGATCAATCAATCTCTTATTCGGTTGTAATTCGCAACACGACTGGGCGATGATCGACGGGAGATTCTTTCGGCTAGATGGGGGTAATCGACTGCCGTGTTTATCAGATGGAAACTCGCAGAAGGCAACCGGGCTCCTGCTATATGTAGGCTAGAAGTTTCCCGGTTTTGAAGGCCCAACTTCTCTCGCTACCTGCTTTATTGAAGTGCCAGCACTTATTATACTTGATTCGCCTGGATATTCACTTGTGGTACCTCCCCAATGGGTTCAATGCCTAGTCCGCACTATGATGCCGTGATTGTCGGAGCCGGCTTTTCCGGGGTATATGTCTTACACGGTCTGCGGAAGATTGGGTTGAAATGCAGGGTCTACGAAGCGGCCTCCGACCTTGGGGGGGTTTGGTACTGGAACGCTTATCCAGGTAGTGATGGCTTGTCCATTTCCCCCCGAATTACCATGTCGTAAGATACTAGCTTATATTCGATCTGATGAGGGTAGGAGCTCGGCTGGACTCTGAAGTTCCGGTATATGAATATTCTGAACCCGAAGTCTGGACGGATTGGACATGGACAGAAAAATACCCTACGAGGGAAGAAATAAGAAAATACTTTGATCACGTTGACAGAGTGTGGGATATCAAAAAGGACGTCGAGTTCAATGTTAGAGTTGTTGGAGGGCAATTTGATACCAACGAGAACGTCTGGAAAGTTGAGACAGAAGACGGACGAACGACAACATGCCAATTTTTCATTCCGGCGGCAGGTTTCGCAGCTAAAGATTATGTTCCTGATTTCAAGGGAGCTGATTCCTTCAAAGGCGCTATTTATCATTCTTCCCGCTGGCCTCAGGGAGGTATATATACCGAGGGTAAACGCGTGGGCGTGATTGGGACAGGGGCTACTGGAGTTCAAATTGCCCAGGAATGTGCAAAAGATGCGGCCAGTGTGATTGTATTTCAGCGGACCCCAAACCTCGCTCTACCGATGCGCCAAAGGAAGCTAACCCCGGAGGAGCAAGACGGGAGGAAGGCGACGTATCCTGGGTTCTTTCAGAACCGTCTGGCAACTTTTGGCGGGATGAAATACACTTTCCTGGCGAAGAATACGGCAGAAGCAACACCATCAGAGCGCGAAGCCTTCTTCGAGCAGCTGTGGGAGAACGGCGGATTTGGATTCTGGCTGGGCGGTTATAGCGACCTGTTTTTTGATCAAAAAGCAAACCGGCATGCCTATGACTTTTGGGCCAAGAAGACACGCGAAAGGATCAAGGATCCCAGAAAAAGAGATATTCTTGCGCCGTTGGAACCCTTCCACCCGTTTGGGACAAAGAGACCTTCGCTAGAGCAAAACTATTATGAAATTTTCAATGAGTCCCATGTAGACGTTATCGATTTGAGGGAGCGAAGCATCGAGAAGGTCACGCCTAATGGGATCCTCATCAGTGACGGGTCGTTTTATGCTCTGGATATCATTGCATTCGCAACGGGCTACGATGCGCTCACAGGGGGGATGGTAAAAATGGGTTTGTTGGACATCCGTGGCAAACCATTGGCGGAAGACTGGGAAAACGGAGTCGTCTCATATCTTGGAATGTGTCATCATGGGTACCCGAATATGTTCTATATGTACGGGCCACAAGCACCGACTGCGTTTGCCAACGGTCCATCATGCGTTGAAGTCCAAGGCCGTTGGATTGTCGATGTTATCCAAAAGATGCGAGAGCAGGGGCTCAAATACATTGAGCCAGAACCTGAAGCGGAAGCGGAATGGAAAGCTAAAATCAACACGCTCTCAGACATGACGCTTCTCCCCCTCGCAGACTCATGGTATGTTGGTGCCAATATTCCAGGCAAGAAGCGGGAACAACTCAACTGGACTGGAGGGCTGCCAGCATACCGAGAGGAGTGTGCAGATGTACTAAAATCTTTCAAGGGCTTCATTACTGCATAACTTGAATCATGTCATGACTTTGCAGCAGGAAGAAGAATTCTGCTTCTCTCATCAACTAGATTGGTCCTAGGGGGTTGGAGGTGACAACACTTTCTTAATATTGAAATTAAACAGCTATTTGGGCCAATTCAATATATAATAACCATATTAGATATTGTGCTCTGTTCGTGTTGCCATATGCCTTTCCTCTGAGGTTGTGATGTCTCCTTTTGGCCTCATGAAAATACATTCACGTGATTTACCCCTGACCTAGCTAACTAGTAACTAGCCAAGCAACCTTACGTAATACTGGCCGGAGCCAGGCTTGTGAACCGCAGCTCTCCTTGCCCAGAAAATGACCTCCTCCCATGATACGCCTTGGTCTATTCTATAATCAGTATTCTCGGGCGCAGGATGGGGCAATACTGAGGCTAGGAGGACTCTTTCCACGAAGTTGTATTCTATTTCTCTCTGTTGTTCATTGACAAGACTGTAAGTAGCTCCAAACCCTTGGCCTCTTTGGGCTCGAATCCATGGATATTTCGTCATTAGTGTGGCTTGTTAAGCTTGCATCTGGATTGACGGGATTTCGTGAACAGGACTTTCTGCTATCGAAAACAAAGAGATAGCGGTTCCTTTTAACCCGGAAATCTCTCTCCTAAGCTATTTCGTGCGAACGAGTGAACCCTCAATCGATCCCAGACCATCAACACCCCCGATTTGATCCCTGAGAGAAGTCTATACATGGAGGTTTATGCCACAGATTATGCGTCATATACGCTGTACTCAACGGTTCTGGAGAAACAAACGCTTTGAGTATTTTGATCTGTGTTATTGAACCAAAATAAATTCACCAGGAGCTGGTCTGAACCGTCGAGTTCCCAGCTGATCTACCATGACTTCTGGCATCACCGATCAAAATGAGTTGAAATTGTCAACGCGGATAAGTCGGGATGGTCTTACACCCACTGAATTAAGCGCTCCACAACCTGTAGCCGATATTTACAACGGTCGCGGGGAGGAATACCCAGTCATCGGGGACCTACCACACCAAGGGCAAAGGAAATCACCGGAAAAATTGGATGAAAGTCCGCAGAAGCCTGAAGTCGAGTTGGATGATTTTGGATTGCCTCTTCCAAAGTCTAGACCTTCGCTGAAATCTGCTAAATCAGCTAGTCCGACGCTCGGCAAGTTAACAGAAAGCGTTGACTGCTTGGCCCTTCAGAATACAGCTGAAACCGACGATGGTGCACCAGGTAGAAATCTTACACGCTCTGTATCTGCGCCCATTCGCGATTTAATTATACCTGATAAAAGGCTCAGTATTGGTCTGGCAGTGAAAGAGGCTCCCAGCCAGAAACAGGACACTCCCGGTTTACCCGTGACAGACGCCACAGGCCTTACCGAACAACCGCAGCCCAATGGAGAACCCCTTGAGACGGACAAGCTGGGCCACCAGAATTCTACGCTCCCCACAGCCCCTGCCGTATCTGAATGGTCGCACCAACGGCTAACGACAAAGGACCACTCTACTGATGGTGAGGATGATAGCGGTTGGCAAGATATGCCGGCTCTTGATTCTTTTGATATCTACGATGACAATGGCCGGCTCGTTGCGCGTGGGAGCAAGGAAGAGGATGAAGAAGCAGTATACCAAGGTCTTGGAGGTGCCGGAAAAGGTTACACCAGAGTTCAAATCGATGAGGACGCTCAGTCAGCCACCAGCCTAGACGAGGAAACTAAATATCTTTTTCCTGAGCCGCAAAGCAATGCCCTCGGCGTTGATGATGAGATTCGGGACCCCATATCTCAGTTACAAGCAACAAAAACTTTGCTCACCGAGGGACAGAGAATAGCATACGTCGGAGTAACGAGACTTACTATATTTCAAATGGTAAAAGATTTGGAAGCCATTAAATTAACAAAATCGACACGTAAATATTTGGCGGGCGCTGTCGACTCCATGACGAAATGGGGACAGCAAATGATGATTCGACTATATGGACATATGGAAATTGATGCTGCAGAGCAGGTAATGATCGAGCAGCTAGCGGAACATGGAGTTCAGCCAGTAGACCTGGTTCGTCCTCTCATGCAGAACTCGCGTGTCAGGAATCCTATGATGGAGGAATCGTTTCCCGTGAAAGATGAGCAGGATCCTCGTACTAGTTACTCTTCCGACGCTCCAGAAACACCTTCGTCCGATAGCCCTCCGCCTCCCTATGAGAAGTATCAGAATGACGACCTTCCTGAGGTCCGGACGCCTTCCCAATTACCACAATCTGAGAAGCTTGACATTGATCTTCGATGGACCGTATTGTGCGACCTCTTCTTGGTTCTCATTGCAGACTCAACGTATGATGCGAGATCACGACGTCTGTTGGAGCGCGTGGCAGAAGTGATGGAAATCTCGTGGATGCAAATATGTCGGTTCGAGAAACGGGTCATTGACTCGTTGGAAATGCAAGAGGAGAAGAACAAAGAAACCTGGGACGAAGCAGATCATATGGAAAAGCGTAGAAAGGACGCTCTAAAACGAAGATACATGATTATGGGTCTTGCAACTGTCGGCGGTGGTTTGGTGATTGGCTTATCCGCCGGCTTGCTGGCTCCCGTTATTGGAGCCGGGCTAGCAGCAGGCTTCACTACTATCGGCGTCTCCGGCACAGGTGCTTTTCTCGGTGGAGTTGGAGGCACGGCGTTGATCACATCTGGTGCTACCATAACGGGCAGTACAATTGGTATTCGAGCATCAAATAGACGCACCGGGGCCGTTAAAACCTTCGAGTATCGCCCATTGCACAATAACAAAAGATTAAATCTGATCGTTACTGCCGCTGGATGGATGACCGGTAAGGTCGACGATGTTCGGCTACCATACAGCACCGTTGACCCGATAATGGGCGACATTTATTCCATTCTATGGGAGCCAGAAATGCTTCAAAGTATGGGCGCCACCATAAACATTCTTGCGACAGAGGTATGTTAATTGTCATGCTGTTTTTGACTGGCTATCTAACAATTCAATCCTAGGCTCTAACCCAGGGCCTTCAGCAAGTGCTCGGAAATACAATATTAACAGCGTTGATGGCATCTTTGCAGCTTCCTATTGTCCTAACGAAGCTATCTTACCTCATAGATAACCCCTGGAATGTATCGCTTGCCAGGGCTACTGCTGCTGGTCTCATTTTGGCTGATTCGCTCATGGATAGAAATCTTGGCAACCGCCCTGTCACTCTTCTTGGGTTTTCTCTAGGCTCAAGGTTGATTTTCTCTTGTTTAGGAGAGCTCGCGAAGAAAGGAGCACATGGTATCGTTCAAAATGTGTACCTCTTCGGTTCGCCTGTTGTCGCGAACAAAGACGAATACCTGAAGGCAAGAAGTGTAGTGTCCGGAAGGTTCGTAAATGGGTATTCGTCAAACGATTGGATTCTGGGATATCTCTTTCGAGCTACGAGCGGCGGAATCATGCGCGTGGCCGGCCTCGCACCGGTAGAGGAGATCGCTGGCGTCGAAAACGTTGATGTTACAAAGTTTGTAAATGGCCATATGGCCTATCGAACTGCCATGCCGCGTCTACTTCGAGAGGTAGGGTGGGAAGTCGAAAGCGACGAATTTACTGAGATCGAAGACCCTGACCCAGACAACCACCAGGAAAGGCAGCGAGATCTTATTCGTGAGATCCAGGAAGCTCGCAAACAGGCCGAAGAGAAGCCAGACAAGAAGAAATTTGGGTTTTTTAAGCGTGGAAAACTTGCTGAGAAAAAAGGATGGGAAACATATGAAGCCGATCAAAACGAGCGCAGCCATACGCATACCCCCGACGGAAATGTCGACCCAGGAGGCACAGTTCTCTTCGACATTGATGCTATCAGAGCTGAGCTAGCCAGCGAGCAAATTGAAGTAAAACAGCTCGAGTCAACTCTTCCCCCCATAAAGGTTGACCTCCAGTCGCCATCGTCCGCTCCTTACCCGAGTTCTCCCAATGGACAGAAGGAGTCACCGATTATGACTCCAAACCCTGAAGAAGCCGCCACCAAGCATCCCGCAGCCTCTGAGTCGCCCAAACAGCAAACAGCTGTAGGAATCCGCGACTTTAAGCCCCTGCCAGATATACCCTCCGGCGCAGGTGCTCTCCATGACCCGTGGCCACATGAGAACGACGTTCAAATGACGTTCGATACTGCCTATCATTCAACGGCATCTGTCACATCCCACGAAGCGGACTCTATGACCGTTCCTTCGTTTCCTCCGCAATCCATGACTCTACCGGCAACGCAGGCACACGATGACTGTCCTCGACTTGACACTTCCAATCTGAGTCATAACGCCTGGGCTGACCCGAGTGATGCCGATGACTCAAATATTACGCTTACATTTGCCTAGAGTATTGTTTGAGAGCGCTGTCTCTCCTTCCTCGGTTTATTCCTCATGGGATATCTTAATATCTCCTTCCTTTCTCTACATGATTCCGGTGTTGAAATGTTACCCTTCTTGATACATATATTGGAGTTGCGAGAAAGTTGTTGCGCATATTTAAGGATGCGGTGAAAAAGCCGGCATGGTTCTCTGTATCCTTAGTGGCGTTTCCTTTGGCCTGACTGTTAATGGATATGAATATATGAGAATATATGACGCTTTCATGTGCTTTGACGAGTCATAACGGGCACGGAGGATTGCTATCCCGTCTTCTTGATACCGACTCATCGAGTCAAACGTTATTTTGAGTCACTTGTGACTGGTTTCTTGATGATTCCCTTCGTCAACTCCGGTTCTCTGATTTCCTCCCACTGTTCCCATCCCGCAGCGTACAGTCATTCTTCTGATAGACTTCGCATCTATGACTCTTTACTTCCTTGCCACCGCATCCATTGACTCATCCGCCCACCCCAATGCGGGATTCACATATGCCATCCCATTCTACAACCGTCTTTGCGATTACGGCATCAGAATCGACTTCTGTGACTCATAGCTCTGGGACGTCTATAAAAAGCCCTTCCTCCCCTACTGAACTCCTTCTTTCTTTCCTTTCATCAACAACCTCCAACAACTCCACAACCGACCTTTTACCCATACTAACCTTTCAAACAGCTGTCAAATCTACTCCTGTGCTATCTCCTATCTACTCTTGTTGATCTACTCTCGATTTGTTCCGTCCATCTTCTCTGTATAATCTACTTCTGTTCTTTATCTATTTCTCATCTACTTTCTTTGGTCTTCGATCTCTTTATTCCCCATTTACTTTGATCTAATAACTCATTTGCTTCTCTACGTACTATTTCACCACTATCTATCTCTATCTACCTACCGATCTACCATTTCTATCTGCTATCTTTCTATCACCTCTACTGCCATCTACTATCATTTACTACCAGCTCTCTACAATCTATCTGCAATCTACTGCAATCTACTACTATCTCTCTACCATCTCTACTATCTACTGCCATCTACTGCCATCTACTGCCATCTACTGCCATCTACTGCCATCTACTGCCATCTACTGCCATCTACTTGCTATTTATCTGCAACCTGCAATATACTAACATCTACTGCCATCTACTGCCATCTACTGCCATCTACTGCCATCTACTTGCTATTTACCTGCAACCTGCAATATACTAACATCTACTGACATCTACTGACATCTACTGACATCTACTGGCATCTACTGGCATCTACTGACATCTACTATCTACTGCCTTCAATCTACTTCACCCTACCATTTATCTTTTCTATCTATCACATATCTTGTCGGAAATCTATTTCTTTTCATACACTTTCTGATTTTGTTTGATCTACCCCTTTGATCTACCCATTACTGATTCATAGCTCTTGATCTATGGCTTTATTGTCCTAGATTTATCGTCGATTTACATTTCTAAATTTCTAGTTCCTGATCTAGCACCCCTAGATCTACTGGCAAATTTTCTGTTCTCGATTTACGTCTCCTGATTTACCATACCCAATCTACTGCCCCCGTTCTCCCATCGATTTCCAGGCGATTTAGGTCGATCTATCATCCGATCTAAACCAATCTTTCGTCATTTCTCCTGCTTGATTTATGCTCATCGATCTACTGTCTGATCTACTAGCGAA